GATCTAGACACCCATAGATTTCGTAAAGACATCTGTTGATCCCACAAAGCTTGGAAATTTGCCTGCTTTGGTCTGACAACCTCATCAGTGAGGTTAGGTTTACCACAGTTGAGGTTGGGCTAAGTTCTAAATGAGAAACCACTTCGCTTTAAGAAGAATATGATTTTGGGAGTAATTGTTGCAGTCTTTACAAAGGGTGGCATTAAGCCATAATTGGTCCTATATCATGACGTTTAGTCCCTTATATGGTTTGAACGTAACAATACTAGGTGTAAATACAGACGTGGTTTGTTGTCCTATAAGACAGTTCTATGATACTGTACGACATAAACTACCCTGGGTGCCAAACTAGTATCGGGCCGTTAGCCGTTTTCCGTCGGCAGCCAAGAGAGTTCTAGGGCCGGACAAATTCTCCTGGGCTCTCCTAGGCGGGGGAAGGGCTCTTGGCTGCCGAAGGAAAACGGCCAACGGTCCGATACTAGTTTGGCACCCAGGGTAGACACAAACTCACGTTTCTCTCTACCTCGGCCGTGAGGTCATCGTACGCCGGGCAGGTCGGGTCCAAACCGTCCGGTCCCGCCTCTGCCTCCAACACCAGCGAGACGTAAACTTCTTTGGCGTCTAATGTCAATATTGAGTCGTTATTGAAGTGTTAAGCAGTATATTTCATATCAATTTTGTTTTACTAGGTCTTTATCTTACAAAATCCTGGCGTTTAATGTAAGAGTCATTATCAAAGTGTTTAGCAGAACATATACATAATATACAAATATACATTTAGTTTTATTAAATCCTTATGTATACAAACTCTAATTGCAATGGGACGCACATGTACAGATACTATAATGTAAAAGCGTCTACCTGGTGTCTCTGGGTACATGACTGATGGATAGATCTTTTATGATTAGTGGGTTTTGTGATTTTGGTAGAAATGTAGTATTGTGGCATGTTTGCTAGATGGTGAAAGATGACTAGGCACACAAAGAACACGCTAGTACAAGAGGATGGGCCCACGGTGGACAGAAAAGTGATATTGCAAGGGTCACTGTTACTCTATCGTACTGTACTTCCTACAGCTAGACCTAGCACTGTTTCGAATAAGAAGAATGTACAGAAGTTGTCAGTTGCTCACCTGCTAGGTGTATGTGGCTTGTTAGACTGAACAAGAGCAGTAGTCCAAACAGTTTAGACATACTTTGTACCGCAAAGCGACTTTCCAAGCCAAGTGCTGTCCACGGCTTCTACTGAGTGAATCGGCACCTCCTGACAACAATTACTAAATGTCTCGATAATTCTATGTTTCAAAATCCTCACCTTTTGCCCCTGTTACTGACGTCAAAATACCACCTAGGGAGCCTGTCTCCACAAATGGACAGTCCAGGTGTCATGAGAAGGCCGTAGCCTGGTTCCCAGTCTTTCCCAAGGCTATAGAACATATAGACTGGAAATCAGCAAACCTATAGACTGGAAATCAGCAAACGTGGTCCCGGTGCCCAAATTTGCCGGCGCATCTAAAGCCCAGGACATGAGGCCTGTGTCCCTGCTCTCAGTCTTAGCTAAGCTTCTGGAGAGGAGCATCTTGAAAAGGCTACTACCTTCCATCCAGGCTGTCATCAAGGACCAATACGCGTACGTAAAGGGTTCCTCTACAACCCTGGCTCTGGTTCGGATGGTGCAAACGTGGTTAACTGCGGTAGATTCAAACAAGCCAACCTTGGTCAGAGCGATCTTCGCTGACATGAGTAAGGCGTTTGATCGTGTGGATCATGCTCGGCTTCTACAGCGCGTTATTGACATCCACACTAGCCCTCGCATGCAGAGGTGGATCGTCAGCTATCTCCAGAACCGCCGGCAGAGGGTCGTCATCGACGGCGAGACTAGTTCATGGCGCACCCTAACGTCGGGGGTGCCACAGGGAGGCGTTCTTTCCCCCTACCTGTTCATTCTCTTCATGAGCACGCGCACCACGGTACACATTGACACAATGAACGTTGGATATGCCGATGACGTCACACTGTCAAGGACTCTCTCCGTAGCCTTAGCTGATCAGGACAAAACTGTAGAGGACGAGTCTTCTCACCTCAACTCCTGGGCAGAGGACAACAAGATGACACTGAACGGTGGGAAGAGCCTCCTTCTCCAGATCTGCTTCAGTCGATCTGTCCCAATCCCACCCACGATCACTCTTGGAGGTCAACCAGTGCCATCTGTCGACTGTGCTAAGGGACTGGGTTTCCTCATAGACAAGGACCTAACCTTCAATGAACAGGTTAACTCCATGATCAGTAACGCTTCGCGCAGACTACACTACTTGCGCCTACTAACGAAACAAGGCACCAGCGTTACCGACCTAATCCAGATTTATCTGGCGCTAGTCCGGCCAGTGCTCGAATACGGGCATGTGTTACTGGTCGGGTGTAGTAAGGAGCAAGAACTGGCCATCGAAAGGGTCCAGCGCCGGGCCTTGCGTATCATTTCCTTGGGAGGAAGGCGTAGCGTGCCTGACCTGCCCACACTGAAGTCGAGGAGGGAAGATGCGGCAGTACACCTGTTCCAACGCATGCTTCAGGAGGACCACCCTCTACATGACCTAGTACCGCCCTCAAGGTCTGGTGCCACGGGACGGACACTTAGAAACTCTAGCACTATCAGTGTACCAAGGGCCCGGACTGAGAGACTAAGAAATTCTTTCCTCCATTGCGCAATCCGTCTTTACAACAAGACAATTAGCACTGAGTAATTGGACATCTGGTAATCGCGCCATGTATAGCATATGTTAACTGTGACATGTTATTTGTGATGTTTTTAATATTGAGATTTTACCTATGTGACGATTCGTTTTAAAATGTAAATGTTTTTAATGTGACTTGTGTAATAAGGACGTAATTCGGGTGCACATGTGTTGCCCGCGAGTTCCTTAATGAATAAAGATTGATTGATTGATTGAGAACAGATTTGATTGACTTTGTAGGATTCTATCCCCATATGTCCAACTATTAAAGGCCAAACCGGTGGCTGCTCCAAATAACTAACCTCTGAACTGCATCTCTGCATTATGATCTGATCATCCTCCCTTGAACTGTTGAAAAGCTGCTAACGCCAAAGAGTACATGTACGTGTACTTTGTTCCTTTTGATAGTTAAATGATCGTGAAGAAGAACTATGAAAAACAACTAAAGGGCTTTTCTCAGGAAGACTGAGATAAAGGTTTCTCGGGGGCATGCTGGCCTTGGTACCGCTGATCTGGCCCGTGTAGGCCCTGGCAACAGTCTGGATTCTAGGTTAAGAAGCTGGAGGCCATTTTGCACTTTGTAGTAGACATGGCAGGTCGTGTTTTACACAGGGAGGTCGTTGCCCTGGCCCAGAAATCGAACAGCTCTTCTGGCGTCTTAATGTTACCATGGACACCAGTATATCTCATCCACCGCTTTTGCAATAGCTTTCATCGTCTATTTTTTTTATCGATACGGCAATAGCCCATCTTTCCTTATTTTGTCTTCTCTGCCTTCTTGATGTCTTGACGTTTGTGAATTCAACACGGGGTCTGGAGTGTATTGAGCGTTTACTTTAAATGTCTAGTTTTAAAGTTAATACAGCGAGGAAAGAGTAATGCTAATCGTTGACAGCGACATGTACATTTTCAACATGCTTGCTTGTTGTAAACGGTGCTTGCAATATTGGGAAAGTCACAAGGAGGCGCTCGGTAGCTGGCTACACAACGGGACTGTCCCAAACTCACGAGTGACAGGCCGATAGCACACATTTGGTGGTGGTGGTGGGGGGGGGGTCGGAAAATCAAAGAACGTAGAGATTCCTCGTTTCAGGTTTCTTGGTTTCATTGCTTTGTTTTTCAAAACGCACTTTAACACTGCTTTCAGTTGTATGCTATTACATTGATTGCATAACACTGCAATTTCTCAGGGAGGCAGAAGTAATTTACCCATTAATCACTGCGATACAAACATGGCAAGAGAAAGACAAGTTTTTATTGACCGTGAATGACCCCAATCTTTTACACAGATAGGGAAGCAAAAATCATGTATACAACACTCCAATGTAATAGTCTATATCCCTCTTCATAATGATTTTTTATACACTACCAACAATGAATTACCAAAAGGAAAATCAAATGGTAAAGCAATGAGGCCTGTTGTATTCAAAAACATATTTTGGAATGGAGAACGTTTTAGAATACATATGGATCTGTATTCAAAACACTTCTGATTCTGAAGCCACATGTAAGACTATATACATATACACCTGGTTTGAAAACAGCTATTCTTGTTATATCCCACTTCTGACACCATGTTGTGTTCTTGTCTTTGACGATAGACTGGGCGAAGACTGGAAACTGTCTTACTACAGGGTTATGCTAGAAGGGTTAGTCGAGGGTTTGACTTCGTACTAAGTTCGTAGTATTCAAAATCACGTTTTGGACTGGAACACGTTTTGGAATGCAACAGGGTCTATCATTGAGATGACCTTGGCAAGCTGACAGACAATCTCTGCATACGTAAAGTTACGGGTAACACCCAGCGACATTTCGCAGTCGGTTTAACATTACATGGGCGGGGGTTCTCGCGTGTCCGACAACCGTCCGACTCTCAAGAAGGTTTAAACGTTTCTGACAACCAGTCCTCCAGGTTTTCTAACTTATATAGGGCGCTAAAAATAACTGCCAAACACGTGATTTTTCAACCAATGGGGAGTGGCCTACTCCCAGCTTGGTGTATACCCCTAGGGAACAATTAGACGATGTCAAAACTCTGTGACCCTTAAATGTTGGATACCCCCAGGGTTATGAGTATGAAGTACCATAATTATCGTATCTTACACACCGCTGACTTCTATCTGTGAAATATTCACCCTAACAAGATCAAATAAATATCATTGATATGAAAGTATTTGCTAAATACAATTCTGATAATATCCTATAGTAACCCAACATTTACTTACATGGGATTGAATATGCTAGATAAAACATCAGGTAAAATAGAATTTATGACACAAAACAAGTAGAGAAACATCTTGGAAGTCTTGTCTAGAACACGTTGTTATCCGAATCGACGTTCCTGCAATTAAACATTAGGGAAATGGTTAACATAAAATGATATATATGTACATTATACATATAACTGTTACATGCTATAACGTTTTATACATGTTAGGGTTTGTTTTTTTTTCTTTTGCCCGTCGTTTTTGAACTTAAGTTAAGACACAGAACGTATCGTCTGAAAGCATAGCATAACTTTGTATATGGACCTTCATTTTGAATGATAAATAGAGAGAAAAATGCTCACCTCCGTGAAACTACCTTTGCCGATTTATACCCTTCTATGTGGGCAAATAACGCGTCCAACTGTGGATTAAAACAGGTATTAGTGACATTCAAAAGTGGTCTTTGAGACAGTCTAGCTATGTTCTCTGTAATCAAAAAGTAACTTTAGGGGCAACTTCTTTCGTCAGTTGTGGATGCTACATGAAACGTCTTACAGTTTTAAACATCTATCCAGTTGCTTGAGGAAGTAACTGTTTTCTTCTGCAACCCAATATACCTGGATGGCATTGTTTAATGAAATAATATCTTTTAAGTATAGTGATATGAATCTGTCTTGCATATTCATATCCAGATGGACTAAATGCACATGGGCATGTAAGACATGGAGTACAGAACACTGACAATGTATATACTATAAATATAGTACAACAGTAGAAAGGTAACATTTGCTAAGCAAATTCATAATGTTTGCCTTTGCATATGGTCTGCTCTGTTAATTCCTACTCAAATACATTCATATATATGGTCAGACAGAAGTATAAATCCCTCCTACTATAGAATTGCAACATTATGCTAAACCCGTTGCAACACCCGTTGCTATAGTGAGAGACGTCAACAAATCAGGTTAGTATTTGGAACGGAAGAAGAGGAAACGTACCAAAAACAATATGTTTTCCTTTGGTAAACATAATAATAGAACAGTGGATGTACCCACGTTTTGTTCGATCTCCCTGGTGAGTTCGTCATATGAGGGGCAGGTAGGGTCCAGGGCGTCCTCCCCCACATCTGTGTCCAGTACGAACGACACAAACGCCGTCTGGTACGGACCTGTAGACAGAGTACAGACATGTATGGGAACTGTGGTACCCTAGTCTCCACCAGACTCCTTTGCAGGCTGAATAAATAGTAGAAGTTGGCCCAAAAATAATATAGCTGGCAAGCAAACTGGACCCTATATGGACGGCCAACTCCCCTGGCCAGCTACATTCTTTTTAGGCCGATTTCTACCATTTATTCAGCCTGCAAGGAGTCTGGTGTGGAGACTAGTGGTACCCCGCAACTGACTAGAAGGATGGTTTATGAAGTAATGAAGTATTACCACTTGAATTGCAGGCTGTTGTGCCAAGGTCAAAGCAAGGAGTTGGTCAAAGTGACAAAGCGCCATCTTGTGACAAATATGAGAATTGTCGATCGTGGCATGTACTAGTATTCAAACGTTACCATGGGCAATAGAAAATAAGACCTTACCTGCTTCCGTCGGTGAAGGACTTGTACCTGGAGGTAACAAAACAATTACAGATAAGCCTAAAGATGATTCAATTTCAATAGAAATACATTTCTTTCCTTGGCAATGACAGGATACAAAATTGTGTATAATGTCTGTGTGCACATGGTTGTATATATATATATATATAGGTATCTTTGGTTGTTGTTTGAATCTGAGCAAATTTCAAACTCCTTGGTCCGAGTTACAACGTTAACTGTGGTGGCGATTTGAATGTCCTGGTGTGGGGTGTTCTTTGCGTTCTGGTCATTGCGATTTCGACATTATTTCAGTTAGTGTTTATTAGAATTTTACCACCAGTTTTGAATCAAATTACGAGGATGTTACACCGCATGAAAGTCTATGTTTACGTACACCTTAAAGCATATACGTAAAAATTCTGTTTCTTCATTCGAGTGGAAAATGGAGCCTTTACGCAAGCTATAGGGAATGCTTAAAGATCGGGTTTTGAGCCTTGTTACGTACCAGACACAGGCGGGCTTGGCGTGGTGACCGTAGTGATTTGCAGAGAGCTGGGGTCGACAGTCAGGTTCCCCAGCGTGCCGTTAGAGACAGCTGTGGTGATGCTGTTCTGCACAGCTGTGCTGACTGTCGCCAGGTCCGCGCTGCCGTCTGACGGCTGTTCCACCTGAACTTCCGTGTCAGCTACCACACTTCCTGGCCTGAAGGGGGAGGGGGGGGGTACATAGACGATGAAATTAATAAGTTCAAAGATATAAATAAGTTGAGGTTCTTTTCAACCTTTGCATGTGGCTATCCATAAATTGAACTTCAATGTCAGCTACCACACCTCCAGGGCTGAAGGGGGAAGGCTAGGGGTTAACAGACGATGAAGTTCAAGGCTATAGATTAGTTGTAGTTCCTTTTAGCCTTTGGTTATCCATGACAAACTCAAATCGGCATGTTGGTCTCTCTTACTTGAGGTCAAAAGGGAAGATGTAGTGGTCGAACAAATTATAATTATAACAAAGGTACAGGTTACATGACTTTGACTTTATTGGGATCCACACTTAGCTTACAAGCTTACATCATACAAGTTTTAGTGCATTTACTGGTAGTATGCTTTCTATCAAAGTAATTAAACATTGGATGTTAGTATCTTTATTTCTATAACGAGTTAACATACGCTCTATGCTATGTTTTCTTCGAGCTAAGAAATAATCAAGACATAAATTATATCTTACCGGAATCGCAGGACCGTTACATCGACGAATCCTGGTTGCGAACTCAGTATAAGCGTGATCTGTAGAAAACAGTAAACGTTAGAAAATGCAATACTAGAAAACATACAAGATCGGCTCCGCGTGCATATACAGCAGAGAGTGACTTTCGGTCACTTCGTTCACTACAGAATCACATCTTCAGCTTTTCATATACCGAAAATTTCGAAAATCAAAGCACCCTGGTGACGTTGTGTGTTACAATTGACAGATATGATGTCAACCCCAATGTACGCCCCAAATGAAATGAGAAACGAGCAGCTCACTTGTGTTACAACAGTAAACGCGAGGCTCCTGAACTGAGGAGAGTTGCTGTCGCTGAGTGCAGGTGTGTACGTCTCGCTTGTCATCGCGAAGGAAACTGACAGCTTTTCGGCTGCAAAGGAGAAAACAGATGTTCTTATTGGCATTGCCCAGGGTCTTTTAAGAGAAAACCATGATTTAGACAAGATTGTAAGTGAAAACATGAAGGTTTCAACTTTGCTACGAGTTATATGAAACATTATTACTGCGTCCGAAGGACAAGAACACAACATGGTGTCAGAAGTGGGATATAACTAGAATAGCAGTTTTTTCAGCTCCGGGTGTGTCTGTATATGCTCACCTGGGGCTTTAGTAGTGCGTTCTGCCGTCGTTGCCTCCTCAGTAGTGGCCGGTGACGACGCCGGCTCGGCTGAGGTTGTTGCCTGCTGAGTAGCACTTGGCGTTGTAGCCGGTGGTGAAGCACCCGCTGTTGTAGTCGGTTGTGTGGCATTAGGCGTTGCAGAAGGTGGTGGAGCACCCGCTGTTGTAGCCGGTTGTGTGGCAATTGGCGTTGTAGTAGCTTGTGACACGCCTGGTGTTACAACCGGTTGTGTAGCATTAGGTGTTACACCTGGTTGTGTGGCACCCGCTGTTGAAGCCGGTTGTGTAGCAATTGGTGTTGTAGCTTCCTGAGTGGCACTCGGTTGTGAGGCACCTTGCGTTGTAGCTGTAGATGTAAAGTACGTGTATTAGCAATGTATGTAAGAAGCAAAAGGATGGCAGTGAAAAGGTTCGTTGGAAAATCTTGCGGCAACTTAGCTTGAAAACTCAGCACTTACACACAACCGAGACGGGAGACGTTATAACCTTCATACATCCATGCCCAATCACTCAAACCGCATTTCCGTAAGGTCAGAGCAGGGTCCAAGTAACTTCAAATCTGGGCCATGGCCAGTTCAATAACATGATAACGAAATCAACCTTCACACAAGCGGGACGGGGGGTATTACATACTTCCGTCGCGTACCTGACAAGTAATCCAGTGAGGTTGGGTCCACGGTGAGGCTGCCAATAGTCCCACTGGACACTGCTGCCTTGGCTTTGGTCAGAAGTGAACTCTGGACGTCCGCCGCAGACGAACCACCGCTAGCCGAGTAGTACACATCCACGTCTGCTATAACACTGCCCTGCCTAGAAACCATGTTTCACGTCAACAGACTTCATATAATTGTGTGTAATGTGTGAACATCCCAAGAATGTATCATTGAAGTTCATCTGTGTTGGCAGTTACATGTTTAATGGTAAAACGTTTGTTTCAACGCAAAAGGTAAATGTTCTCACCTAGAGATTTCGACCTGTCACTCTGGTCTTCGTCAGTAGACTGACCCGGTGTTCACATTTTAGAGAATGCACGTGACAAGTCAGACTGGGGAAGACCAGAGTGACTGGTCGAAAGCTCTAGTTGAGAACACATACCTTTTGTGTTGGAACAAAAGAAGTTTTTCCTCTACTAAAAACACCCCAAGAACGGTTTACTTTTATACTTCCAGTATTATAGCAATTGAATATATGACCATACCTGAATCCCGTCACTTCGCTCCGGACGTATCCAGGCGTGCTCCCCAGTTCGGCTTGCAGCTGTGAGGAAAGAGATTTATTTTGGTTATCCGTTGATGATCATGGTGTGCAGTCCCCAGAAAGCAAAAGTTGACCAAACACAAAATGAAACAGGCGACTGATAGATGATATCCTTACGTTAGACGTGACAGTAGATGCGAGGAACGTAAAGTCAGCAGAGCTGGAATCACTTAGGGTCGCTCGCCATGACTCCCCACTCAGCGTCAAGGCTAGGGCCAGGGAAGCTGGGAAAGACAGAAGACTTGTCGTTGTAATGAATAACTCACAAATAAATCGCATATCATCGCTCAAACGAAACTGTCTGCTATAGCAAATGTACAAGCAAGCGTTCCAATTTAATATATAGATAAGCAAAGGAGCTTTGTATAATTCCTTAGGCATGAATTCCTGATCTTAGACTAGTATTCAAATGGAATGCGTCACGCTCACAGATATCACAACACTTTTGATTTAAAGAATAAGAATAGAACTTACATGCCGCGGATGTAGTCATGGCGGGTGTGGTAGCACTAGGAGTTGTGCCTTCTGGTCGACCGCTTGTGATGCTTTCTCTTGTAGACATGTCAGGCCTGGTAGCTCCAGCAGTTGTGGCGTCTGGTCTGGCCCTTGTGACATTTTCTGCTGTAGTAAGCTCTGGTCTCGTGGGTCCAGCAGATGTAACTTCTGGTTGCTGGGCTGTGGCGTTTTTTCTTGGGGTTACCTCGGGTCTAGAGGCCATAGGAGTTGTAACGTCTGGTGGGGCTCTTGTTGCGTTTTCAGCGGAAGTTGCTTTTGGTGGAGTGGCCATTGGAGTTGTCATTTCAGGCCGGGCCCTTGTTGTATTTTCCGGTGGAGTAACCTTTGGTCCAGTGGCCATTGGAGTTGTAGCCATGGGAGTTGTAACGTCTGGTCGGGCCCTTGTTGCATTTTCCGGTGAAGTAACGTCTGGTCTAGTGGCCATTGGAGTTGTCATTTCTGGACGGGCCCTTGTGGTATTTTCCGGTAACGTAACATTTGGTCTAGTAGACATAGGAGTTGTCATTTCTGGTCGTGCCCTTGTGGCATTTTCCGGTGAAGTAACATTTGGTCTAGTGGCCATTGACGTTGTCATCTCAGGCCGAGCCCTTGTGGCATTTTCCGGTGAGGTAACATTTGGTCTAGTAGCCATAGGAGTCATACCGTCTGGTCTATCACTTGTGACGTTTTCTTGACGAGGTGGTGTAACATGGGGACTAGTGGTTGCTGGGCGCCCGGTTGTGACATTTTCCATCGGGGGCCTAGTAGTGTTGTCCGGAGGAGCCATTGTAGGACGTGGCGATGTAGCGTTCTCTGTACGAGCCATTGTTGCGTTGTCTGGGCGAGGCGATGTAGCGACATCCGGCTGACTTGGCTGCGGTCTGGTTACGTTTTCGAGCGGAGTCGATGTAACGTTTGGTGTAACAGTGGGGCGAGCCGTTGTCGGTGTAGTGATGGTGAGTGAGCTGGGATCCACCGTGAAGTTTCCCAGGGACCCGTTGGAGACGGCTGACGTCAGGGTGTTCTGTATGGACGTACTGACGGCAGACACGTCCGAACCCGAGTCTCCGGACATGACCACCTCTGTGTCCGCGATCACACTCCCTTGCCTGGGCAAAAGTACATAATATAGCCAATACGTGAGGAAACAGAGTTACATGCTCACATAACTGGTAAACGACGTCATATGTGATCCAAAGAAAGAGTGGCTGAACCAAGTGAAAAATGCTAACCTGAATCCAACAACAATAGTCCTGACGTATCCGACAACCAGCACAAACAGTTGGTCAAACTGTGGAACAATCAAACTCGTTAGAAATTTCGCAGAAATGCACACAAGCCTAGTAGGGTATTGATAAAGTTGCTATTTATGTCTTGCAAATGATATCGTCATGTACAACTCTAGAAAAGTATCTCTCTTTTCAGGAAGTGAGGGAATTGTGACAATTAAACGAGCACTTACCGTGTTTGCTACGTTTGATGCAAGATTTCTGAACTCCGCCGAGTTGGGGTCATTGAGAGAAGCGGTGAACGTCACACTGGTGAGCTTGAGTGAGACTTGAAGCTTAGGGGCTGGTAAGGCGAAACAAAAGTTCACAATGTTCAAACGGCTAAAGGTAAACGTTGTTCCATAGCCTTTTGAGGCCATAGTGGATTGTTAGACCACTGTGTCTATAGAGGGTATCGTCAGAGAAAAAAACTTTATCAGGCGAATTAGAACAAATATAGCAGTACGACAGAAGCAGCATAAACAAGTTCTTACCTTCTTTAGTTGTAGTTTCTGCTGCTGCGGTTGTTGTAATCACAGCTGGGGCAGCAGAGCTGATCTGTGGAGTCATTGTAGCGCTGTCCGGTCGAGGGGACGAAGGGACTTCAGGGCGAGCCGTCGAAACATCGTCCGGTCGAGATGTCACGTTACGTAGGTGAGGCGTTGTAACATCTGGTCTGGGACTTGTATCGTTTTCTTGGCGAGGACTTGTCATGTCTGGTCGACGAGAGGTCATGTTTTGTGGGTGAGGCGTTGTAAGCCCTTCTGGTCTTGGACTTGTAACGTTGTCCGGACGAGCCATGGTAGCGTTGTCGTGTCGGGGCGATGTCATGTTGTCAGGGCGAGGCATTGTAACACCGTCTGGTTGGTGACTTGTAGTGTTCTCTGCTGCCCGAGCCATCGTCACATTGTCGGGACGAGGCGATGTAGCGACATCCCGCGGCTGACTTGGCTGCGGCCTGGTTACGTTTTCAGCCTGAGTCGCTGTAACGTTCGGTGTAACAGTTGGGCGAGCCGTTGTCGGTGTAGTGATGGTGAGTGAGCTGGGATCCACCGTGAAGTTTCCCAGGGACCCGTTGGAGACGGCTGACGTCAGGGTGTTCTGTATGGACGCACTGACGGCAGACACGTCCGGCCCCGAGTCTCCGGATCCTGCGTCTAAAACTACCTCCGTATCCGCGATAACACTGCCCTGTCTGGGGTACAAGTATAACGAGGACATGCTGAATCAGGCTGACATTAAAGGTGCTTACTACAGGGAAAAAACTTATTTTCCTAACACACTTGTGTCTCCGAACATTTTTGCACATGTGTATACGTAGCCAGCAGTGTATTATTGATTTAGCACCTAGCAATCTCGTTTTAGAGCATTGTGGTGAAAGTTAGAAGTTCTTATATCTGATATGAATAGGCACATCATTAATATATCAAAGAACATGTGTACAATATACTTCCCAATGAGGGGCATGGTTCAAAGTGCTCTGAGCAACTTAAACTACAGAACGTGTGTTAAGTCATGCGTTATTCGGATTGATTAAAAAGACGGAGTAATAATGCTCACCTAAATCCTAGAACATTTGTCTTGACGTATCCATTGACGTTTACGAACAACAGGTCAAACTGTGAACAATTGGAAGTAAATTGTTAGGCCTTTTTTCAAAGGAAGAAATAAAAAGAAAACAATACACTTTCCGTAGTCGGAGACAGACGTGTGATGACATTAATTGGTACTTACCGTATTTGCAACATTCGCTGCAAGATTTTTGAACTCGGCCGAGTTTTTGTCGTTGAGAGTGGGTGTGAACGTCACACTGGTCAGCTTCAGTGAAACCTCCAGTTTAGGGGCTAGTCCATGAATGAAAAAGATAACAGAGTCAGAATCCACGATGGTCAAAACCTTTAAAGCATGACGTAGCCAATATACATATTTGTTACAAAATGAAGTTTGCTTGTGATAGGAAAAAACTGACTTTGAAAAGCAATGCTACTGACATAATAATATACACAGCGTGCTAGGCTTACGTTCCGGCGTTGTAGTTTCTCCCGTTGTTGTTGTTTCAGTCGGTGAAGCAGTGGTGGTTGGTGGTTGTAAAGGTGTCATTGTGGGGCTCTCAGGACGTCCAGATGTAACGTCATCAGGAGGGGCCATTGTGGTGTTTCCTTGATGGGGCGTTGTAACACTGTCCGGTCTTGGAGATGTGACGTTTTCTGCATGTGGCGTTGCAACATCTTCTGGTCTAGGCGATGTCATGTTGTTTTGTGAGGGGAACATTGTGGTATTGTCTGGTCGATGTGTTGTATCATTTTCTGGACGCACCATTGTTATATTGTCCTGATGAGGCATGGTAAGATCTTCTGGTCTAGGCGATGTCATGTTGTTTTGTTGGGGGAACATTGTGGTATTGTCTGGTCGATGTGTTGTAGCGCTTTCTGGAGGAATCATTGTTACATTGTCCTGATGAGGCATGGTAAAATCTGGTCTAGGTGATGTCTTGTTGTTTTGTGGAGGGAGCGGTGTAACACCGTCTGGTTGATGCCTTGTGGTGTCGCCCGGCTGACTTGGCTGCGGTCTGGTTGCGTTTTCAGCCCGAGTCGCTGTAACGTTTGGTGTGACAGTGGGGCGAGCCGTTGTCGGTGTAGTGATGGTGAGTGAGCTGGGATCCACCGTGAAGTTTCCCAGGGACCCGTTGGAGACGGCTGACGTCAGGGTGTTCTGTATGGACGCACTGACGGCAGACACGTCCGGCCCCGAGTCTCCGGATCCTGCGTCTAAAACTACCTCCGTATCCGCGATAACGCTGCCTTGTCTGGGTTAAAACGGTTTAAGAAATAAGACAGTTACTACTTGTGCCAGTGCCCTAAAAGACTACCACACTGATGTCAACTTGAGCAAATTTGTTCTTGGACCACACAATTTAGATAGAGTCAAATACTCACCTAAATCCGAGAACGTTCGTCTTGACATATCCAGGAGTGTTGGCAAACAGTTGGTCGAACTGTGGGTATAGGACGTTAAAATGCATTAGAGAATGTGCCTCTCATCGTAAAAGTAAGCTGTGCAGTTATACATGTGTAGTATGTGAGTTATGCAGTACTTACTGTGTCTTCAACATTTGATGCAAGGTTCTTAAACTCCGCAGATTCTGGGTTATTGAGAGAAGGTGTAAACGGCACACTCGTCAGCTTCAGGGAGACCTCAACTTTTGGAGCTGAAAAAATACACAATTTTTACAATAAGCAAACGCAGAGGTGAAGATGTGATATAATAAACATAAAAATATGTTATCCTTTATAGTGCTACATATCTCTAGAGAAAATCATTGCAGTAGAAGCAACAGTCAAAAGTACAATGTCCTTACGTTCAGGCGTTGTAGTTTCTCCCGTTGTTGTTGTTTCAATCGGTGAAGCAGTTGTGGTTGGTTGTTGTAAAGGTGTCATTGTGAGGTTCTCAGGACGTCCAGATGTAACATCTTCAGGCGGGGCCATTGTGGCATTTTCTGAAGGCCCCATTGTTACATTGTCCGGATGAGGCATGGTTACAAGATCTTCTGGTCTAGGCGATGTCATGTTGCTTTGTTGGGGGAACATTGTGGTATTATCTGGTCGACGCATACGTGTTGTAGCATTTTCTGGACGAGCCATTGTTACATTGTCCTGATGAGGCATGGTAACATCTGGTCTAGGCGATGTCATGTTGTTTTGTGAGGGAAACATTGTGGTATTATCTGGTCGATGTGTTGTAGCACTTTCTGGAGGAGCCATTGTTACATTGTCCTGATGAGGCATGGTAACATCTTCTGGTCTAGGCGATGTCATGTTGCTTTGTTGGGGGAACATTGTGATATTGTCTGGTCGATGTGTTGTAGCACTTTCTGGAGCCATCATTGTTACATTGTCCGGATGAGGAGGTGTGGCAATGTCTGGATGAGGCATGGTAACATTTTCTGGACTAGGTGATGTCATGTTGTTTTGTGGAGGGAGCGTTGGAACAGCGTCTGGTCGCTGCGTTGTCACGTTTTGCAAGTGAGGCGTTATAACACCTTCTGGTTGATGCCTTGTGGTGTCGTCCGGCTGACTTGGCTGCGGTCTGGTTGCGTTTTCAACCTGAGTCGCTGTAACGTTTGGTGTAACAGTGGGGCGAGCCGTTGTCGGTGTAGTGATGGTGAGTGAGCTGGGATCCACCGTGAAGTTTCCCAGGGACCCGTTGGAGACGGCTGACGTCAGGGTGTTCTGTATGGACGCACTGACGGCAGACACGTCCGGCCCCGAGTCTCCGGATCCTGCGTCTAAAACTACCTCCGTGTCCGCGATCACACTGCCCTGTCTGGGGTAAAACGGTTTAGAAAATAAGACATTTACTTGGCAATGCTACATCAAAACTGCCACACTGATATCAACTTCAAAAGCTGTTAGAAAATTTGCTCTTGGACCACACAATTTAGATAGAGTCAAATACTCACCTAAATCCGAGAACGTTAGTCTTGACATATCCAGGAGTGTTGGCAAACAGTTGGTCAAACTGTGGGAACAGGAGGGGCATTAAATTGATTTAGAAATGCCTCTCGTCGTACCACAAAACCACGTAGTGATACACACACTCTGTATAGCGGACACATGATGTACTTACACATGTGTACTTACCGTGTCTTCAACATTTGATGCAAGATTCTTAAACTCCGCAGACTCTGGGTTATTGAGAGAAGGTGTAAACGGCACACTCGTCAGCTTCAGGGAAACCTCAACTTTTGGAGCTGAAAAAAAGCAAAACTTCTACATCAATCTAACTCAGAGATCAAGATACGATATAAGACATATAAATGTGACAAACTGATGGTGGTATACTATATATCGCTAGAGAAAGTCGTCAAAAAAATTGCAATATAATAGAAACAGTCAACAGTACAAGGTCCTTACGTTCAGCCGTTGTAGTTGCATCTGTTGTAGTTGTTGCAGCTGGAGAAGCTGTGGTGATCTGTGGTTGTAAAGGTGTCATTGTGAGGTTTTCAGGACGTCCAGATGTAACATCGTCAGGCCGAGCCATTGTGGCATTTTCTGAAGGCCCCATTGTTACATTGTCCTGATGAGGCATGGTTACAAGATCTTCTGGTCTAGGTGATGTTATGTTGTTTTGTGAAGGGAACATTGTGGTATTGTCTGGTCGATGTGCTGTAGCATTGTCAGGATGAGGAGATGTAGCAATGTCTGGTTGAGGCATGGTAACATTTTCTGGACTAGGCGATGTCATGTTTTGTGGAGGGAGCGGTGTAACATCGTCTGGTCGATGCGTTGTAGCGTTTTGTTGGTGAGGCGTCGTGGTGTATCCTGGTTGAGCTGCTGTAGTGTTTTCTAGGCGAGGCATCGTCATATTTGCCGGTGCTGTAACATCATCCAGTCGAGGCATTGTGACATTTTCAGGATGAACCATTGTAGCATTCTCCGCTGCCGCCATTGTAACATTAGGCCCTGACTCATCCTCTGTTGCGCCGCGTCCTGTAGTCGGAAACAGCCCGCCGGTCACTTCTATACCCACTCCCAGACCGCCTCCGCCACCCGAGTCGGGACTAGCCGTAGTCGGTTCGGTGAAGGCGAGTGAACTCGGGTCGACCGTGAAGTTGCCCAGGGATCCACCGGACACAGCGGCCGTCAGGGTGTTCTGGATGGATGACTTGACATCAGGTGAGCCCTCGGTACTGCCACCGGACATATAACTGATGCTGGTGTCTGCTATAACACTGCCAGACCTGTGGAGAAGAATACACACAGATGTGAGGTCTCTATAGGCGTGCCACTTCCGTCTTATGCTCATTGAATGGTCAAGGAAGTTATAGAGCAAAGAGCTACATTGTAGCCTACATGTACCTGACATATGAGTACATGATTTCTTTTTATAACATTCTATGTGTGCGATAGTCCTCTGCTGTAGACCTAGTGCCTTTACTACTTCACTTGTAGTAGATGTCTATCATTGGATAATGTTATTACTCCGTGAAGGAGGTCAGGACCTCCGGACGGAGTGTTGTGAAGAGTCGCTTTTTTTGTGTTCGCAGTCAAAACACTGGGTTCTCTTTGTGTAATCGGCATGCAATTTTATACGCCGTCTGCGGGCATGCCCGTGTTGATGCACGAATGTGTATTTTTGCCGTTGCTGCTTTCGCGGTCAATGTAATATATTGCAGATGCAACCCTATAGTTATGAGGCAAATTGGAATGGTCCAGAAAAACCCGTTGTTTGGAATAGCAGTGGGGGGTGGAACTTCAGGCAGATGGTGAGGGGTCGATAAGTGGTACCACGGCAGTAACACTTCGCGGTGCTGACCGCAACTTATATCGGGACCTGCTTTCGGGCTAATATTTTCTATATCTGACGGGAACCGCGTCTAGACGGCGAATGGTCAGACGGTGATGGCGAACGGCCAAGGAACGGCCAAGGAACGGCCTAGGAACGGCCTAGGAACGGCCTAGGAACGGCCTAGAAACGGCCAAGGAACGGACTAGGAACGGACTAGGAACGGACTAGGAACGAACTAGGAACGGACTACGAACGGCCATAAAACGGCCAAGGAACGGCCTAGGAACGGCCTAGGAACGGCCTAGGAACGGCCAAGGAACGGCCTAGGAACGGCCCAGGAACGGCCTAGGAACGGCCTAGGTACGGCCTAGGAACGGCCTAGGAACGGCCAAGGAACGGCCAAGGAACGGCCTAGCAACGGCCTAGGAACGGCCTAGGAACGGCCAAGGAACGGTCTAGGAACGGCCTAGGAACGGCCAAGGAACGGCCAAGGAACGGCCTAGGAACGGCCTAGGAACGGCCAAGGAACGGCCTAAGAACGGCCTAGAAACGGCATAGGTACGGTCTAGGAACGGCCTAGCAACGGCCTAGAAACGGCCTAGAAACGGCCTGGAAACGGTCTAGGAACGGCCTAGGAACGGCCTAGGAACGGCCAAGGAACGGCCTAGGAACGGCCAAGGAACGTCCTAAGAACGGCCTAGGAACGACCAAGGAACGGCCTAGGAACGACCTAGGAACGGCCAAGGAACAGCCTAGGAACGGCCAAGGAACGGCCAAGGTACGGCCTAGGAACGGCCTAGGAACGGCCTAGGAACGGTCAAGGTACGGTCTAGGAACGGTCAAGGTACGGCCTAGAAACGGCCAAGGAACGGCCTAGGGACGGCCTAGGAACGGCCTAGGGACGGCCTAGGAACGGCCTAGGAACGGCCTAGGAACGGCTAAGTTCGCCATCACCGTCTGACAATCCTAGGCCGTTCCTAGGCCGTTCCTAGGCCGTTCCTATGCCGTTCCTAGGCCGTTCCTTGGCCGTTCCTAGGCCGTTCCTTGGCCGTTCCTTGGCCGTTCCTAGTCCGTTCCTAGTCCGTTCCTTAGCCGTTCCTTAGCCGTTCCTAGGCCGTTCCTACGCCGTTCCTAGGCCGTTCCTTGGCCGTTCCTAGGCCGTACCTTGGCCGTTCCTAGGTCGTTCCTAGGTCGTTCCTAGGCCGTTATCCCTATAGTGTTGTACGAGGTTTGAGTCATCCATTATGTTGTGTTCCTGTCGCGGGTCTGACTCTATCTCCCCACAGCACGTGCCTGCTGACACCGGGGAGCGAGCTTGCCTCTACCAGGCTTGAGGGTGCGGCTGGAAATAGTAGAAATTGGCCTAATAGAGAGATAACACGCCGAGGGAGTTTAGCCATCCAGTTTACAGTTTGCCGTTTACGTTTACAGTTTGCCGGCAAACTGTAAACTGGATGGCTAAACTCCCTCGGTGTGATATCTCTCTATTTGGCCAATTTCTACCCTCAAGCCTGGTAGAGGCTAGGAGCGAGCGACAACACGCGCTGTCTACACGACAGGTCTGCAGTAGACAAGCTGACTCCATTGCCTATCCAACAAGATTATTACTCCGTGAAGGAGGTCAGGACCTCCAGACGGAGTGTTGTGAAGAGTCGTTTTTTGTGTTCGCAGTCAAAACACTGGGTTCTCTTTGTGTAATCGGCATGCAATTTTATACGCCGTCTGCAGGCATGCCCGTGTTGATGCACGAATGTGTATTTTTGCCGTTGCTGCTTTCGCGGTCAATGTAATATTGCAGATGCACCCCTATAGTTATGAGGCAAATTGGAATGGTCCAGATTAACCCGTTGTTTGGAATAGCAGTGGGGGGGTGTAACTTCAGGCAGATGGTGAGGGGCCGATAAGTGGCACCACGGCAGTAACACTCGCGGAGCTGGCCGCAACTGTTGCTGGAATTTGCCAGTCGCGCTTAATAAGCAACAGGCACGGTAAGACGGTGGGGCTGTCTTTGTTACTAGTGACACGACCATGATAGTCCAATCTTTATGTGAATGCAATGATTGTGTGTGTGTAATTAAAATGAACTTCGAACTTGAAGCACAGTATCTTTACACGCCCTGAGAGCAGTGATGGATTTAGGTCTTTTTATGTTTTATGGTTGTGACGCGCCCTCATTGTATTAACCGTTGCCTTATGTCTGCACAGTAGGTCTGGCGTTGACGCTTGGGATTATTTTTGTTGCAAAATATAAAACTTCACGGAGGATTGTCACCTATGGCTTCTTGTTTGCATTAGTTACGTAAGCTCATATGCTCAGTGGTAGAGTATATTCTTACCTAAAACCTGTGACTTGACTGCTGATGTATCCAGGCGTGCTCTTCAGTGCTGAATCCAGCTGTAAAATAACACATCTTAGATACATTAAAATACATGTAGACTTAGCTTCCGCACCATGTGAAACAAATATGTTCTTCGCTAAGTAGATCGTTTCTGCTACATAAGGTCCACCGTACCATATGACTAGTTATCAAAAATACACATGGGTAAGCTGCATTATTGTCATGAAATAAAATTCAAAAGCTGTCAAGAGGTTACAAAAGATACATAACGAGGGTGATAACTTAAAGGTACTCACACTTGATTCGACATTTGATGCGAGGTTCTTGTAGTCTGCAGAGCTTGGGTCGTTCAGCGCAGGTCGGAATGTCTCGCTCGTCAGACTTAGTGAGACCTCGACACTGGCAACTAAAAGGAATCAACATTGTGTGCATTATTTAATGAAATTGGTATTTTCTCAGTTTTCAACGAGACATGAGTATTGCTACATGTAATAGCCTTTTTGTCATTCTAAACAATGTTCATTACAAATCTTTCATAACTTGAGACTGCAAACATGTAACGTACTGGATACATGATACATGTTTCGTCAGCATTCAAGAGAACGTATGTGTTCTTACCTTGGCTGGTAGCAGTGGTAGCATTTTCAGGTGCTGGCATACGTGTCGGCGTTGTAGCATTTGTTACAGGTGCCATTTGTGTTGGCGTTGTAGCATTTGTTACAGATGCCATATGTGTTGGCGTTGTAGCATTTGTTACAGATGCCATATGTGTCGGCGTTGTAGCATTTGTTACAGGTGCCATATGTGTTGTGGCATTTGTTACAGGTGCCATATGTGTTGTGGCATTTGTTACAGGTGCCATAGGTGTTGTGGCATTTGTTACAGGTGCCATATGTGTCGGCGTTGTAGCATTTGTTACAGGTGCCATATGTGTTGGTGTTGAAGCATTTGTTCCAGGTGTCATGTGTGTCGGTGTTGTAGCATTTGTTCCAGGTGTCATACGCGTCGGCGTTGTAGCATTTGTTACAGGTGCCGCAGGTGCTGGCATTGTAGCATTTGTTACGGGTGCCGCAGGTGCTGGCGTTGTAGCATTTGTTACAGGTGCCATATGCGTTGGCGTTGCGGCATTTGTTACATCTGCCGCAGGTGCTGGCGTTGTAGCATTTGTTACAGGTGCCGCAGGTGTCGGTGTTGCAGCATTGCCTTGTTGTGTTGTTGCTTTGGCGTTCTCTGGTACAGCCGTTGTAGCATTTTCTGGATGCACCGCCGTCATTTTTGCTGCAGTAGCAGTGACGTTTGCAGGGGCCAGTGGTGTTGCCGCTCCTAGTAGTACAAGAAAGCCCAATGCATCCAATTAATTTCTACAATAATTAAAAATCTTGGTGTGGCTTTTTATATTTGAGGTCGGAAAAACACCCTTCATATGCGTATACGTAATAGATAGATTGGCCTGATCGCGGCAACTTTGCACACGACCATATATGGCAATTTTTTTTTGCCATATATTGATTGTACGAATCAGTGTTATTCAGCTTTTTGTACATGCTGCGAGGATGAGTTTCTGAATAAAACTGTACGTTAAACTGACCAGACGGAAAGAAAATTGTTAACGCTGGTTGTTCCACCTGGCTGCTGATTTAAGCCCGCCCGTCTCCTCATTACGCCCTTTCAAACTCTTGACCTCAGTTATCAGACCCACAATGATGCTGTGACCTGTCCCTAAGATATAGTGCAGTTTTGCCCGTCGGGCTACTTTAATAATTGCGGCCAGGAGTTGTCTAAAGTCTGGTAGTTATATCTGTAGTGTCTCGATACCCTCATCTATGGAGATAATCTCCAAGCAGATTCTGTGGGGAAAGGGAGTCTATATTGGCCGCCTGTATCCATGCATTGGCCTCCTGTAAACATTAAATTTTTGCCGATGGTTACCGGAGGCCAATGGATACAGGCGGCCAATATAGAATACGACTAAAATTTCCACTTTGAATTGGGCCTAAAATGGCCACCTTTAAATTGGGCCAAAAATAGCCACATTTGAATTGGGCCTAAAATGGCCACCTTTCCCCACAGAATCTGCTTGGAGATTAGTGTTGACTAGTCTGCCGTTTACATTCTTATGTATTTTACAAAGTTTAACGTGTTTATCTTAAACGTAAATCTCTATGTGAAGAGAAAACCTATAGCTATGGTAGCCTCCGAAGCAGGCCTATAGAACTGGGGGTTTGGTGGTCTTTGGCTGTTTTCTGATTAGCCCAATTCTAAAAAAACGGGGGTAATTCAACCAGGCCGGCTATTTTGTCTATATGCAATCAGAAAAAAAGCACATGAAAGCTCCCGTAGACCCCGAAGACCCCCCCAAATTCCCAGTTTTTGGCATGCTATGGAGGCTATAGCTATGTCCACATAAGGGGTACACTGGTCCAACGGTTTCTGGAGCAAGGTTATACCCATGAGTTTAAACATGTGGAAATAATACAGTCATATTTCATCTCATTCTATGACTAAATGTGAAACGCCCAGCCCGGGAGCTTGGGCACTTCCCCGTCTTTATCTTAGTGAATAAACCTTAACAACCTGCATGGACAATTTATCATGTCAGGAGGATGTTAACGTTGTCTTCTAGTTCCAATGATAGTTTGGATTGCAACTTTAAAGTTTTCCATGCAAGCTTGCGTCATAAACCTGCTTTACACACACAAACCTAGCCTCCACCAGGCCTTTCTGTGGGAATACGGATCGTAGAATACGGCAAAAAAAAGAGAGTAAAATTGGCCAAGGGATTCCGGCCGCGGGGAGGTAGTTTCTTTCCCTCCGAAGAAATATTAAATACTGCGCGGCCTAGCTGTCAAACCTACAAGGCGGCCAAAGTCCCCTGGCAATTATTCTCCTATATATAGCCAGCGTAGTTACTAGCAATCTGGTAGAGACTAACACAAATCCACCCACCCAACCACCCATCCTTGTCCAGTACTAGTTTTCGGACAAAGAAGTGAAGAATTGCGCAATCCCAATTCAAAGTGACCATTTTTACTTAGTGTCTTACACATAGAACGTTCATAATGATGGAAAAGCTGATTGCACTATACAACATTGAATGAATATTTACAGAACAGCATTTATCTCTGTATACATCAATGTTATTGGTGTAGGGTTAGGATTACACCTCAGACAGACAAGCATGCAATCTTTTGTTTACCGTAAGTGTAAATGTAGGCTAATCATGGCGGAAAAAGCAGTGCTTTGTACTGAAATAACTACAGTCTCTGTGTCAATTCTCCATCCGTTTAATAAACGATGCTGGGAAGTTTCTTAAACGGGCTTTACTTCTATACAATTCACTGTTTCAAAACTATTCTCCGATACCTGTTGAACAATACAAAAACTCTTCATGTTTTCTCTTCGACATCGATATCGCTACTGAGCCACCTAATATTTTGTCAGTGACAACGACAGTACTCTAAAATCTTCATCAATCAACGTAATTAGTGTTTTCAACACAGAAAGAATGTCAGATAAAGCAACTTTCTGTTCAGTGTGACTCTCTCGTCTTTGATACTTTGTTTATACAATCTGTGGTGCCAATACTAACCTGCTACCATGTATTTGCCGTACTTACTGGAACTACTGTCATCAATGGCAGATATGTATACTGAAGTAAAAAAAAAGGTGGCTGCCGTCTGAAAGCTTCTACGTATCTAAAGTAAGTAATTCGATAACGACTGTTCTGTACCTATCACTGACACACCCCAATGCGCTCAAATTCCCATGGGACTCAATTTAAACCGGTTTTAACCTCCTTAATCTTTCTTAGAAAGTTTTGGTTTCTTCTAAAGACAATTCAACATTCGTCCTGAACATTGCCGCTCGACAACACTCTTATGTAATGCACAAAACCATACTTTAACCTACATGCTTGACAGGCTACTTTGACAAATTTCAACATTTATTCTATCATTGAAATGGAACAATTAAACACTTCACGCAATGGTGGTTACAACATGCTTCATTACACTACCAGAATGTTCACTACTTTTTCAAAACAAATCTTTATTTATTTTGAAAATAAACACCCTACTTTCCAAACAATGAGCCATGTAAGATCTCCAAAATTGTTCTAACAAGATCAAAACGCGAACACGAATCTGTGTCATTCGGTGTGACATGGCGCAACAACTAGTTTGTGAGAAAATTTCTAGATTATACCAATGCTGAGGTTGATTAAACCTCTTTGATTGTACTACCACTCGTAATTTGTGCTTCAGAAAACGTTCCTTTCCCTCACCAGTACGCCGATTTTTGTTTAATGATTGCGATAAAATAGTTTTATGCAGAGGAAATAGACGTGTGACAACGCATGACACTTACCTGACTGTGTATTCTGTCCCTGGACTCCCTCCAGAACCAAAAACAGTACTCCAAACATCAGAATCCCCATCCTGAATCCACCTGTAGCCTCCATCAGGTGTTTCCGTGCTTCCACCTGTCCACAGCTACGTTTTAAAGGCGGGAACCTTCACAGATGCAGCTATGTTCGTGACATAGTGCGACCACGCCTTTTGTAAGTGCTGTGCGCGGCACAGTTTTCTGACTAAAGTATTGTCTAAAAACTACCTCTGCCGCGGGCATTTTCAAAAGAACAAAACGTCCTTTTTCTCTCCAATAATTACTAGTACCAGGAAAACGCTTGCATCTACCTGTGCAGGAAGATCTAACTAATATGTATTTGATTAAAATGTATAATCATGGAAATAGATTTGGCTTAGGTTGATGTCTACAAAGTTTTCATTTATTATATCACACCAGAAAAAGTGACATTACATCAAAGGAAGGTGACATTTGGACGACCTGTCACTCGGGGTCAAAGGTCACGTGAAATCTTCACCCTCTAAATTATTATTATTTTTTGTATCACGAGATTTTCACTATGAAAGACAGTTATGATTCATTCATTGGTTAACATATTCGCCTGAATTATTCTGATGATATTCTCACATTTGCGCACAGAAGTACCATTAAAGGATCTTCTTGTAAGGTTCATCTGAACATTGCCATAATGTTCTGTTTGGATTACATTGGCAGAGAAAGTTGGCTACATCAATTTGTCAGATAGCAGTCTGTTTCATTGTTTGATGATAGACACAGATGATTAGTAAACACATGACAATGTAGATGTGGTGTAGATGCGATTTTATCTGTATATTCAGGTAACACGTAATAAAGAAACAAAACTGGAATAATTGAGTCCGCAAACTTTAACAAGAAACGAGCAACGACATTATTTCCGTTTTGTTACCACCTCGTTTGCCCAAATATTGTAACAGGTGTAAGAGCCATTTGTTACCCTCTTGTCCATGCATTGATTGAAGTAAAGCCTTAATGACATGAAGTGTACGGGTGACCTACTTTTTGACTAAAGGCATAATTATCCGGTGGAACGAGAAAAATGGTTAAGTTAAGAGAAAAATAGTTGTAATTTCTGTAAATGTGGGAATTATACATCATGTAGCTACAGTTTCGTGGTAAAGGGGTGCATTTAGCCTGCTTTTTCCTTTGAAAAACAAAACGACGAAATCGGCCACAAAATGCTAACAGTTGTGCATGTGGTTTGTAATAGCACTTAAGATATAACTAAGGGCTACAAGTGAGTTAATTGTCAGGACTTGTTTGACAACATGCATGTTGCAAGCCCCACTGGACTTTCGTTGCTAGGTAACAGTCTGTTGCCTAGCAACGAGGCAGTGTTACCAGGTCTTGCCCCGATTCTCCCGACTTTCATTCATTCATTCATTCATTCATTCATTCATTCATTCATTCATTCATTCATTCATTCATTCATTCATTCATTCATTCATTCATTCATTCATTCATTCATTCATTCATTCATTCATTCATTCATTCATTCATTCATTCATTCATAATGGCCTTCACCTTTTGTGTCGACCTTAGGCCATGTTAATTTGATTATATGGATGACATCCCCGTGCGCATGAATTTTATGCCGTTCCCCCCCCCCCAAAAAACGAAGTTTTCAACCATACTGTAAATCGTACAAAACAGTTGCAAAATGAACAAATATATACCGTAAGTTGAAAAAAAAAACATTGGAAAACGATACCAATGTCGTAGAATACCAAAATCAAACAAAAAGGACGAAAATGTAAAGAAATGAATTTGAAGACTAGATTATTCGCCAAACCATACTCTGTGTCATTTGTTCAACCTTCAAAACCACGTAGATTTCATAATGAAAGCAACTTTGGTCAATTTCTATTGTATTCGCACGCTCGCATCAGTTTTGGAGTTCCCAGAGGATGTCATCCATATAATCAAATCAACATGGCCTCACACGTATTGCACACATTGATTGGTCAATCAATTCTACCCCGGCCAATCAGGAAAGACATTAGAAATCTTATGGAGATAACTAGAAATCCATTGGTTTAACCCATTGGACATTCAGTATTCTCCCAGACCAAACATTGGACCAATCAGCATCCACATAACAATCTTGACGCTACTGGCTGCAGTACTAATTTAATCCGCTGAGTAATTTGGCGTCCTTGAACCGTGGCGAGTTGCAAAGCATGTGGAGAAGGAGGGGACTGAAAATGGATGTAAACAAACTGTTTGCGATTGATTTATACGGGGGTCTTGTTCGTCCTACACTTTGTGAAGTCCTCGGAGAGGTACGTAGGTCTATGTGTTATCTGAATTGTGTCAAATGGCTCACATTTAACCTAGTTGTTTGTGCAACAAGACGTGGAATCCCCAGATAATACATAGCGAGAGGAGGGGCGCATCATTTAATAACAACATAAAGTCACAATTTATGCAAAACAGTGTCTCTGTTCAGGCCTTGATTGGTAAGGTATCTGCTCCATAGTAAACCATGATCAATCTCCATGTCTAACTTTCGTTTAAATGTTTAACGTTACTAGTATTCACAACACAAGACTCGAAGATTCATAACACGGTACTTTTTACCGTGCAGCAGCGACATCTACCAGAGTTGTTAGGAAGTGCAGTTTAAAGGGTGGAAACTTTGTCGGCTGGAAATGTTATCGAAAAGGCAGCTCATGCCACCTGATGTTGTCACTTTAAACTCAGTCCTTATTAACATATTAAAGGTACTGTAAGATATACAATTCGTGAAATTCTGTGTCTTTAAAATTCATAGTGTTTGATATCATATAGACATCAGCAATATTGCAATTTGATACCTGTTGTACAAATGTATCTATTCAACTGAACTTTTCAGGGTAACAACAGCAGGTTGCATAATGTGTGTTCTCACACACTGTCAACACTGGGGCAAAGGTCATCGCCGGATTCGGGTCAAGGCCCTTCCCGCCTGCGTCTGGCCAAAGGTCATGGCCACCTGTTGACGGAACCGTTTGTTCTGTTGTGTATGTGAGGGGCAAGCGTACATGTAACATGGTGGGCATTCAACAGGACTAGGCAAGTAATTTCATGGGTGGTAAGTACATAAGTTCCGAGCAGATCTTTTGCTGGCCGAAAAGACAGTATAAAATTGGCCAGGCATTGTCCATTTGCCAGGCAGTAGTAATACATGTAGTACCATTTTGCCACCAAAGATGGTAACTGGGGGCCCACAAGCCCTTTTCTGTAGAGCGTAATCGGCCGTTTAAATTCTACGTAGAGCGTAGACGGACCGCTCTAATATTTTTGCGTAGAGCGTATTCAGCATTTTAATTCTACGTAATGGGTTGTAGCCACTTGGAATTTATCGTAAAGCGTAATCGAGAGGTTTCCAAATTCAGCGTAGAGCGTTATCAGGACCCCCCCTTGCAGGCCCTCGTAACTGTCTGGCAATTATGGATACAGCCTGGCCAATTCGATACTCAGTCAGTCTTTGCAACCACCAAAAGATCTGCTTGTAAGTTGTAGATTAGTAATTATGCAAGGTTTGGTGTTGTGTGCATTTTATGTTACATGGGCCTCTACGACTTAAACTTAGCTTTAAGGAATTTAGTTTCAAGCGCAGAACCTTTCAGATGACATCCACCATCCACAGACCTAGGTCTTGAATACTGTACTGTGTTCTGACACTTGAAGTTGACAGCTTTAAGGTAATGGTATGTGGTGTGTCAATATGGTACAATGACAAATTCTGTCTGAGTGTGACTTACAATACTAGTATGTCTGAATAGTACACTATGTGCGACACAACATTTCTGAACCCAAGTGTATGTTTAAGTTCAACTAATATAAGAAAATATGCATAGTTTACATTCCATTAGTTTGAGTAAACACTGTTGAATCATTAACAGAAACTTTACTGGCCTTTGTGCATTCAATGAAAAAATAAACAGCGAACTTCAATTTTGTTTTCATTTCGGGGCTCGAAATATCCTAGTTCAGGTGAACAGAAAAAGGTATTTCGAGCCCCAAATGCAAATGATCCTTAGGAATGGAATTGGACCAATTATATAGATAGCAAGAAAGTAAGGTACCTGTCCCTTTTGTATCTTAATTGAGCTTTTGAAATGTTTTGAAAACATGTATTGTGTATGTATATTTCACATCCCAGAAGCACTATGATGTGAGTTTGAAAATTCCTGAAGGGCCCATCAACAATTGTTTGAGAAAAATGTGTGTAAAAATCAATAAAGATTAGTGTGCACTTGAAGTGAAGGCAAACAGAGTAAAATCCCCTACAGTACAGTTATGAGTGTTAGGACCTTCAATAAATTAGGGACAGTCCAGAAAGTAATGTGGAAGGGGGAAGAAAAGGGGAGTGTTCAGCAATAGCAGCAAAAATACTAGAAGATAAGTTATGGCAAAAGAAAAGTGAAAAGTAAAACTATACAGAAGAAGAAAAGTGAGTTTGTACAAACTATATAAGGGCTTGAAAAAAATATTTTTTTACACCCCCTCCCCAATATCTATTGGTTGATCCCTTTGTACTTAGCTATCGTACCATGATCACAGTCAGTACTACCAAGGACATTATACTGTGTATACTGTCCTTGGTACTAGACAGTTCCCAGGTCTGTAATGTCTGGATTTTATCTTCAGTCCTGCATGAATATATGATACATTCCATTATAATCACTTCTGAAATAGCTCGCAGGCCGTATCATCTATTCATCAGTACAGTACTGTTATGTAGGGGCACTACCATTGAGGATTGTGTATTGGGGATGGTTAAAAAGTGTTGATAATTGTGTTGTCAGGGTAATTATGTTTTATAATAACTTACCTTTTGAAGATGTCGTTTCCCTAATTTTCAGACCCTGAACATCCCTTGGTCAAGCTTTTTTTAAAGGGAAATTGATCAGTGTTATTATGTAATAATGTTTCCTTATCATAGGTAACCCCTACTCTATGTAAGTATTGGTTTGGTCCATCTGATTCGTAGCAAGTTTCTCCCTTAAGAGTTCAAGGGCATCGGGTAAACTTGAGACAACTGCCGACTTTTTTAACCGTCATAGTTGAATCCATGGCTACGTACTGTATTCTTGGATTTTTAGTTTTAAATCCCTTCAACAGAAGAAGTCCAAGCCAACAAGGGGTGAAAAAAGTTCAGTATGTAATGCAAAAACCAACAAATTAAATTGGTATGGCCTAAGATTGCTTGTTTATGTTTTTACTACTAAGCAGCTAGTAACCGATTGTTTCAAGCAGAAAAAGAGAGGTTGTTAAACTTAATTGTTTTTAGATCCATGCTTTTATCAGCAATAATTGTTTTACAGTTCTTACATTGTGGTAACTAGTACTATGATGTTACATTTCAAGGCCACACCAATTTAATTCGTTAGTTCTCGTTTTTTTTCTGAAAAAATATGAATCGACAGGGCAAAAAATAAAATAAAAACAGATTCAGGCATCCTCTTAACTAGGAAGAAAAGCACTTTTCTGTTTGGAGCAAAATATACACATTTTTGAGTTGATTCAGAACCAGAATCTTTTTTTTTTCAAATCAGAAAAAAAAGAGGCGAATCCGAGAACCAACAAATTAAATTGGTATGGCCTAACACTGATATCTCCTACATCTTCTAAGACCTTGTTTTCAAGCCTGATTCCATTGATTTTGCTGCCTTAAACCTGTTCAGTTCCATGTTTTGAAATCTGACCCCATTTTTTTTGTCCAATCCTTGTACTCAGTTTCCCCTGAGAATAATCTCAATACCCAGTAGCACAATAGCCAATTACGTGGAACAAACCATTTTCTCTGTGATGTTGGTATCATAATTTGACATCCTGGTATACCCTTTTTAATCAAGCACATTATAGTAGTTATTAAGGGTTGTTTTCGAGCGTGAAACGCACCTTTACAACCATGTGTTGCGGCAGGTTTCTGTGATTTCTGACTCCTCCCTAAACAAGTCCTGATTGCTATAATTATTGGAGTGTTTTGGCTCCTGTATAACCCATAATCCAATTGGTGTGCCCTCAGCGGGGGGAAATTCATTAATACCTGTGGAGGATGGAAGATAACGTTTTGTAATGTCTAATTCTATAACTGACGGGAAAATCATCATTGATGAGGACTATGTAAATTTTTTATCCTTTTTTAATGAAGTTGGATTTATATAATAACTCACAGACAAAAATTTTCAGACATGTCCTCAAGTGCATAGTCACAAATTCAGCTTTTCAAATATTAGCTCACTAAAACTATTAGCTTTTGATGTTTTTTTACACATCAAAATATCATACGTTCCTTTTAAAAATTTGATTTCAACTCTCATGTACAATTTGCCTTCTAATTTAAGTTATTCAGAGATGCACCCACTCATATTGTTATCTTTTTATTGTCAATTCATCCACTAATATCAAGAGCCTGTTTTTTTTATCTCCTTCTCCATTGTGTTTTGTCCCTCAATGGAGAAGCAAAAAAAAAACCCCACTTGATAACCTTTAAAATGTATTTTGACCCAAGCAATGAGCACTTTGCCTCCCTCTTGCATCATTAATGAACTTTCCCCACATTTCCGCATGCATCAGAGAATCGATGACAAGGCTGGCAACCTGTTCCATAGAGGAGCCGGCGCCACATTATGAGGTCATGCCACTGGCTGGCTCGTAAACGTAAGATCGGAAACAAGCGGACCACTCTACCAAGGTAAAGTACGCTTTCCTATTGAACCAGTCTTTTTTTAAACCTAAATATGTCCTGGAGTGGAACAAGACATTTGTTAGGTTGTGTTTTGAAGTAAGTTGGATTGCTGTTGTCTGTTGATGTTAAGTGTCACTTCCTTGTTCACTTGTTTACTGTGGATTTTCTACAGAAAAAATACTATAGATAGTATAATTTGTGAATCTTTACACTATAGTATACAGTATCTTGGATATAAGATAAGTACATTGTGTTCAACATGCATTTCTATGGTTGTTCATTGATTACTCGTTATGTGGTATAATTGGCTCATTTAGTGAACAACACATTACTGTGAGCCAGCTGGTGGGTATTATATGGAACACAAACCATACTGCTACTTATGGCGATGATAGGGGTTGTCATATAATCTTTCAACCAAGAACTCAGCGTTCTAAATCATTGCAGTATGACATTAAAACATTGTTGAACCTCTGTTAACTGAAGTAGCCTTTATTGAACTCAATTGTATGCAGTTGTGATTAATCTTTTCTCTATCTTTTTTTTTAACGGAGTGGTAAGGGCTATACGACCACTTCTCGGCATTGAACTAGAAATATGAGAGAAACATGGCTATGTCAAGAGATGGCGGTGAACGTTTCATTTGAAAGCCTGTAGATTGTAGGTTGGTGGGAAACACTTGTCAGGGAGGGAATTCCAAAGCTTCAAGCCATACGGGGAAAGAAACTGTCACTGTAAAAATATTCCGAACAAGGAATTTGGACGAGCCCAGAGGTGCATACAGTACTCCATACATGGGCGAATGGTGGAATATTGTAGAGGTATTATAATAGTACTTCTAGCACAATATTAATTAGTCTAGGAATGTATATTGACTTAAGTTGATATTATGGACAAACCACAATTTAAATTCAATGTAGATGTAGTTTATTTTGTCCATGATATTTTATGATAACAAGATCCCTTGCTAAATCAGGTATAGGTGGTCCTGTGCTAGTAGATCATAATACAGGGCATTAATTCCCATGGGTGTAATGGTATAAACAAGGTTGCCTGATGTCCTCTGGTATTGATGTTTTCTTAGAAATGGATGAAAAGATAGACTGCAGATAGAATTTTCTACAGGAATACAGAAAGAATCTGCACCTGAAAGTTTGCGAAAATTCTTAGAAATTTAAGATAACCAAAAAAGAAAGAAAAGAAAAAGGCAGAAAAAGAAATGGAAATGGATGACTGCAGGTAGAATTTTCAGGAATGCAGAAAAAATCTTCAACTGAAAGTTTGAGAAAATTGTTAGAAAGAAGAACCGAAAAAGGCAGAAAAAAAAACAGAAAAAATTCTTGAAAGTTGAAAACAAAATTTTGCACAATCATTGTATTTCAATAGGCCACTATCAACCCAAAATACAAAAAAAAATGTTGCAGGAAAAAAAATTATGAAAAATTTAAAGATTCCACAATCCCACACTAGACATATGATCATGGTGTTTTTATGAATCCCTTGAGCTTGAATATGCAGCAGGGTTACATATGAAATATGCAGGATAATGACCCAAATCATTAAAGCATGAAATATGATACCAAACGAATATCATAAAACATAGTCTAGGCTCACAGTAGGTGTTTCATTTTTTTGTGAAAAAATCTTGGTGTTGCAAGACGGAAATTGTCCAAATTTACTGCAGGAAATGCATTGTAATATATATTGTGCCAACATGGGATAGGTAATGAAATATAGTATTAATAAAAAAAAAACGAACTCCTTGTGCCAAACCTTTGGCTGTCTACATATGTTAGTTATTGGGACTTGCGTGATCTGATATCAACTGAAATCTGGTATTCAAGATTATATGACATATATAATGTAGTTGAACCATTGTTACAGTAGAAACTGGCCTGAGCTCAGTATATACAGTATAATACTGTCCAGGGCTCAAAATACTGGGTGCATGTGCACCTTAGTGCACCCAAAATTGGAGCTGTACAGTCCCAATTTGTTTCTGTTGGTGCACCAGTGCACCTAAATATTTTTTTAGGTATTTTTGTACATATTAAATGTATACAGCAATACTGGATATTCTTGGCATCTTCTTTGTTGTAGTAGTTGTTTAAAGTACAAGATTTTGAAGTTAACTCCCATTTCATATTCAAGCTCAGAAGAGGAGCAGTAAGATCTGTAATTAGGTTTTGTTTTACAAATTACATGGTGCACCCAAAAAAAATTTTGTGCACCTAATTTTTTAGGTTAGGTGCATTATTCCCAAAAAATGAATTTTGAGCCCTGATACATGTATATTGTCACAGCTAAGAGCTTAAGAGATGTTTCCCATTTTATCTCCACTGAGGTTATCATTCTGTAGATTGCTCAGTGCTAGAGTCCTAACCTCTTTGCAGGGTCCTGTGGTTTGCATTGATTTAAAACATTGGGCCGTCATTGATGTATTAGGTAGGTTCAATAGTGCAGACCACATTGGGTCAGGAGGTGGCAGCGTGCCAATACAGTCTGTCAGCCACAGGCACAAGCGCTGAGATTGTGTTGGGAAATTACCCATAGTCCAATCTCTGCCATCCACACAAGTAAGTACAGTGTGTTTTCAAATGTCCCAGAAGAAAATACTAACTGTAAGTTAGTGTAACAGTACAATTGAAAGTACTGTAACAGTACAATTGTAAAATATTGCAAATTCGTGCCCGGAGGCTAATTGCAAATTACAAAACATAAAAGAACATTGAAACAGAGTACTATAAAATATCTGAAGTCTACATGATGAAGGTAGCTGTCTAGAACTAAACTATGTCTAAAACTATGTCTGAAGGGTTTGACTTCTCTTCTGTAAACCATGGAAGACGTTACAATATAAAGATAATATTTTGGGTGCCTGCTGGCACTTCTAGCTGTTTCTGACTTTTTGTGTCTTGTGTGCCTCTTTAAAAGTAATTCTCTAAGTAATTCAAGACAGTGAAAAAAATTGAAGCGCCTAGGTGGCGGCCATTTTTAAAACTTAAAGGTTTTTGTTGTGGAAGGAAATACAATATAAAGATAATATTTTGGGTGCCTGCACATGAAGTTGTGTCAGACATTTTCTTTCATGTATGCCTCTTTAAATCTTAAGAGGATTTAAGTAATTTAAGACAATGAAAATGTTTTAAGCGCCTAGGTGCACTGCCATATTTTAAACTTTTTGTTGTACCATGTTAATGGTCTATATGGCTTTATTAACTGGTTTAAAACAAAAAAAACAACAACTTTCTTCCAATGTTGATATCAAGATTCCCCTATGTATACCCTTTACCTACGCACTAACAGGACATGTGGACACTGTAAGTCTATACCAGGTAACTTGATACCAGTCTGCCATGGCTGGTTCCCTGTGGAAGGAAGGAGTCAAGGTCAACATCAAAGCCCCAGGTGTCACTCTTCTGTCAACATCGGGAATGTTGCATGCCCTGACATCATTGCTTAGGCCATGTTAATTTGATTATATGGATGACATCCTCTAAGAACCCCAAAACTGATGCGAGCGTGCGAATAAAAAAAAGTGCGGCAAAAAAAAAGTTGCTTTCATTATGAAATTTATATGGTCATGAAGGTTGAACAAATGACACAGAGTATGGTATATGGCGAATAATCTACTCTTTAAATTTATTTCTTTACATTTTTGTCTTTTATGTTTGATTTTGGCATTCTACGACATTGGTATCATTTTTCTTTGTAACCTACAGTATGTATTTGCTCATTTTGCAACTGTTTTGTACGATTTACAGTATGGTTGAAAACTTTTTTTTGGAAACGGCCAAAAATTCATGTGCGCGCAGATGTCATCCATGGAAAGAAAAGTGCTAGCCCAAATCTTTGAGAAAATTTTGAAAACTAGATGGATTTAACTTTTCAAAATCACATGGTTTCAGAAAATTGTATTGAACAATCAACTTCGCTAGATATTTAGTTAATTTGTATCCATTAACGTCAACATAATGATTGAATTATGAAAGAACCTTTCAATAATGAAAGATGAGATTCAATCTTTAAGATTGATAAAATTATGAATTGATGTCAAACTTTTTTTTCAAAATTCTTTTGTTGAAGTAACAAAATTACTTGTTGCGTTACGAATCGTTAGAGCCTAAAGTTGCAACATAAACAGTCATTTACAACAACATCTTTTGTAAAGACCGTAAACCAGAGAAGTGTTTTGTTTGAGCCCTCTTTTGTGTAGTGCCCACCTCACCTTTCAGCTGGTGGAAGAGTTAGAGTTACAATAATGAGTTCTTCAAATGCAGCCCACATACTCAGACTGTTTTTGTATCCTTGGGTGTGCCTCGAATACCTTACAACTTACCACATACTTGTGATATCATGGAAGAAATGAGGGAGAAGTTATGCTAACTTTGATGTGAAGAAAGCCTTGTTTGATGTTGCTGTGTTTTTAGGGGATGTTTTGAGTGCAGTCTGGAGGGATTTTTTGAGGTAGTCAGGAGGAAAGGAGAGTTGGAGTGGAAAACAGCAGAGCTTTTCTTCTAACAAAAGCCAAGGTCAGTGTATTATAACGTTACATACTGTTACAATCTGATGATGTAGGGGTAGAAAGGATTTTCCATGGGTAAGTTGTTGTGTTTTCTGAAAGAGTGTAAGAGTTGTAGTTAATTTGCAAGAGATAAGCTTACAGGATGGTAAGGCTTGGATAATGAATTAGTCACACTTTGACTGAAAGTTTCCCTTTGTTTTCACTTCTCAGTGGTTACATGTATGTGTAGGATTAGGAAGCATTTAACATTATTTTTGGATCAACATGGACTTATTTCTTCTACTCATTTATTTTCATTTTCGGAAGTAGAACATTTCACAATATTGGACATTCTGAATATCTTTACTAATTTAGATATTGAAGATACATGTACCGGCAAAACACAATTAGCATAACATTTATAAAACTTACCGGTAGAATGGTTTTGTTGGTAATGTATAGAGATTGGAACAAATCAATATTTAAATCAATACAGACCAATACAATCAATAATCTAAAAATAACTTAGAGGTTGATTGCTTTGACCTACCAATTTGTCTGGATCAATTGGTTATGTGGGTCTAAAAGGGGTTTACAAGATTCCAGATTTTGAAGAAAATCAGTCATTGAAACTGAATACTGAGATTTTGATACAACAATCTATGAGCAGCTTGAACATGAAGTTGAAATCTGTTTCCTTCTCAAAATCATGAGTAATATTCAGACTGAGTACAGAATTTTGTATGATGAAAACCAAGTATTTCCTTTGTACAGCCATGATAATAATAATAATATTTCTTCAAACTGCCTACTCCAAGCAGAGGTTTGGGTTTTGGGTTATTTTTGGTGTGTTTCTAGGCTTTTTTTTATCTGGGATTTTTTTCACCCTAAAAATTCCAGTGCAAGAAAGAAACCCCAATAAAAAAGCCTAGAAACACGTCAAAATATCCCAAAACCCAAACCTCTGCTTGGAGAGTAGGAATCGTCTACACTTCTGATAAAACTGGAACTCGTTGCCATCATGGCCAAGCACTGTCGATGAGTTGGGGCATCATCACTAGAAAGCGTTAATAAACAACTCCTGCAATTAAATGTGCAAAGATTGAGTGTAACAAGTCGTTCAGTGTGATATAGCTAGCTGCCGCTGCGCCGCATGCCTGCGAAGCTGGTGTGTTATGCCGAAGGGCGGTTATACTGACTATAATGATACAGATTGGTCGTGATCAGGTACTATATGTGTTATATGCACGACCAGCTGAACTGTGAAAATTTATCCCAGCCTTATTAATAATGTATCAGGGGTGTCTGCAGACATTTTCCCAGGGGAGCTACATAATACTGGCCTGTAAGGCGGCATTAATTTATTGCCTGGACTGTCTAATATATTCATGATAAAAAAATATTACCTCAGTTACTACATGTGTAGTTTTTGCCCATGGTATGTCCTAGAAAATTTCTTTCCTTTAATTTTCCTTTATCCTTTATTTTGATGCCCTTTAGCCCGAAAGGCTAATCTTCCAGGGCTCATACCACCACATATTATACAACAGCTTACAATTGTTAAAAAAACACTCATTTAGCACAATAAGAAATTTATGTTCATACTTTAATTATACATTATGCAATTATGCTTTAATTACATTTTCCTATTACCTAAAATCTATTATGTAATATATTCTTATTCATTTCGTGTTATAGTATGACAAGACATTTGTAAGAAAAAAAAAACTACTGTGACATACAGCACAAGAAACAATAAATGGGCATTTAAATTATACATTATGCAATTATGCTTTAATCACATTTTCCTATTACCTGAAATCTATTATGTTATATTCTTTTTAATTTCGTGTTATAGTATTAACAAGACATTTGTAAGAAAAAATAATTACTCTGACATACAGTGCAAGAAACAATGAATGGACATGTTTGTGCCCAATGTAAATAATAAGCAGGTTATGCTTTAATCAAATTTCCATTTCACCTAAAAAACATTATATTCTTATCCATTTCACACCATCAGGTCATAGTATGACAAGTCATCTGTAGGAAAAAAATTACTCTAACGTACTGTAAGAAAAAAAATTACTCTAACGTACTGTAAGAAAAAAAATTACTCTGACGTACTGTAAGAAAAAAAATTACTCTGATGATGTACTGTAAGAAAAAAAATTACTCTGACGTACTGTAAGAAAAAAATTACTCTGACGTACTGTAAGAAAAAAAATTACTCTGATGTACTGTAAGAAAAAAAAATTACTGTGACGTACTGTTAGAAAAAAAATTACTCTGATGTACTGTAAGAAAAAAAAATTACTCTGACGTACTGTAAGAAAAAAAATTACTCTGACGTACTGAACAAGAAACAATGAATGGACATGTTTGCGCCCAATGTAAATAATAAGCAGTTTAGTGGACAGTAAAGCTAGTGTGGCATTCCGCCCTGTTTTGAGTGTAAGGGCCGCTGCAGTGGCAGGTATATATCATGTTCTAAGAACGCGGAGGTTGATTTTATAAAGGTGAAAACATGATGCAGGGATTCGCCGCCGATATTTGCGCTAAGGGCGAGGCCCTCATCGCACAGGTAACTGATTTTATAATCACGATGTGATCAAATTGCGATTTTTCTTGCTATCTTTTTGTAATCTACTACTAATTATGCACAATGCTATATATATTTTAACATGAAGAGGTGGTGTGGGTTGTGCTAAGATCTTTGCCTGAGTGTACGTTTGCATGATTTACAGGCGGCAAATTTCTGCTCTGTGAGTTTATAGATTTATCCAGGCCATTGATGTACCAGGCCGTTTAACGAGAAGGCGAATATCGCACAAGCTGCTGGTGTGATTTTGTCGCAGATTTTCGTGTTTAGCGTAAAAATGTCACCAAAATGTGTTAGCCTAAGGACATTTTTACATTCAATCATCATGGCTACCCATACACCATTTACCATTTAGAATTCTGTACTCTACAATAAATGAATTGTGTTATTATATTTCTTGAAATAGGTTACTTAATAATGATTGAATATTTTGACATGCAAACTCATATTGTGATAAAATGCATAATATTTTACTTCCAATTTGGAAGCTAAGAGAAAATGGTTAGAAATTCTGGTATATTCACCATTTAGAATTCTGGTACTCTGCAATAAATGAAGTGTGTTATCATATTTTGGAATAGGTTACTTAATAATGATTTAAACAACCTTGAATATTTTGACATGTAAAATCATATTGTGACAAAATGCATAATATTTTACCTCCAATTTGGAAGCTAAGAGAAAATGGTTAGAAATTCTGGTATATTCACCATTTAGCATTCTGGTACTCTACAATAAATGAAGTGTGTTATTATATTTTGAAATAGGTTACTCAATAATGACTGAATATTTTGACATGCAAAATCATATTGTGACAAAATGTATAATATTTTACTTCCAATTTGGAACCTAAGAGAAAATGGTTAGAAATTCTGGTATATTCACCATTAAGAATTCTGGTACTCTACAATAAATGAAGTGTGTTATTATATTTTTAGGAAATAGGTTACTTAATGATTTAAACAACCTTGAATATTTTGACATGTAAAATCATATTGTGAGTGACAAAATGCATAATATTTTACTTCCAATTTGGTCTAGCTGAGAGAAAATGGTTAGAAAATTCTGACAGGAAAATTCACACTGCCTTCATCCCAAGAGACCAATACTGGCCTGTGAATACATTTCATTTTGTAGAGTTTTATTAGGCATTTCCTTATCTGCATTATAAAACATCAATATCAGCAAGAAAAACAGTCCTGCTAATGTAATTTCACTTATTACTGGAATTCGTTTCCTGGAAAATGCAATTGATATTCTGCAGGAGACTGAGGTGATTTAATCAATCATTGGTCTGCCATTTGTGCTCAACTTTGACCTGACACTCCCTTAATTTTTTTAGAATGAAGACCTTTATTGCACATTTTTGCCACACTTGGCTTGAAGTACAGGTCACAACGAAACAAGATGAATGGGACACAGTTAACAGATACAAATAAAAGCAACTAACTATCGTTATATAAATTCAACTTCTCATTTTTCAGTTAGGCCACACCAAGTAAATTTCATGGATGACGTCCTTTGGAGACCCTAAATCTAATGCGAGAGGGCGAAAAAAAACAAGAAGGGCCCTAAAAAACAAGATGCCTAGATTAGAAATATACTAAGAGACGACAAATGTTAGGACACAAATTCAATGAGGTGACACAGTGTAACAAGCAAGAAGTCTTTTATTCATGATCAAAACAGCAATAAATCAGGTGGAATAGCAGTTGTCGTCCTGTCCTGTTTTCGCGTTACGGGTTTCACGTCAATCTGACGATTTGTGGCACTGTTGTGACTCTTTCGTCATAGTTACAGCATGGTTACAGGAAGCGGAATTTCTTGTTTTTTTTTTCTAGGAACAGGTAAAAATCAATGCGTGCGCGGACGTCATCCATAAAATTTACTTGGTGTGGCCTTACATGTATTGTGCAAATGAAAGAACGTTCACAGATCTGTTTTTCAATGGGAGGTTTGTCTAGTTGCATTAGGAATATAATTCTTTTACAGTACTCAAGTGTAATTGAAATAGGGGAATAGGAATCTGTATAAACCTATTGAAACATGGTGGCTTTTTAAAAAGGTGATTCAATTTTTCAATTTCAATTTTATTCATTTTGACAAAATTGTACAACAGCAGGAGATAGCTAGACCACCCCTGATCATGAATTGTGCTCCGATTTTTACAAAGAGTTAATAAAAAATCAAGACATTTTGAACAAAACACTGTGACTATATACATGTACAATCAACATTCAAACAAAAACAGTCACAATATTTCAATATTTAGGAGAATTTTAAGCAAAAGGTTACCAGGCTCCTGGCATTTGGAACATTGCCTAGTACTCAGTCAAGTTATTTACTGCATGTTCCTTGCTTGATGCTTCATTGGATTTATGATGGTTTGCATAAAACATCCGTGATATATAATCTCCATTGCTGACTACAGTAACTCTGTAGAAAAAAGAGAGAACTGGTACCCAAATTGCTACTTCAGTGTGATAAAGGTTAAAACATCATAAACCATCCAGGTATCATTTTCCTTTTATCTGCTATATATTGAACACTGAATGAGATCAGGTATTATATAATAGTTTTCTAACTGGCCTGAAATTTTATTTTCTGCGACTACCTTGTGAGGTTACGTTCCAAGAACCAAAAGCAAGCAAATTAACCTTATCTGTAATCTAAATTACATACAATTTGTGCCACTCTCCTTGTGTATATAGTTCAAGCAGTTTATTGACTTGTCCTCAGATTGTACTTTATTGTCTGTTGTTCTGTTAACTCAGTTAACCTTTTGACTAAAGCCAATTCAAAAGGCAACAGGGAGAAGGTAAACCTAGCGGGCTCAAAATACTGGGTATATGCAGGTTAGTGCAGGTAAAATTGGAGCTGTGCAGGTATTTCTGATGTCTACCTGCACCTAACCTGCACTGGTCCATGTACTGGGTATATGCAGGTTAGTGCAGGTAAGATTGGAGTTGTGCAGGTATTTCTCATGTCTACCTGCACCTAACCTGCACTGGTCCATGTACTGGGTATATGCAGGTTAGTGCAGGTAAAATTGGAGCTGTGCAGGTATTTCTCATGTCTACCTGCACCTAACCTGCACTGGTCCATGTACATGGGTTTATATACAAATGTGGGTGTTTGTGGATTTTCATTTGCTGCATTGACTGTTGCCACCTATGACGCAAGGGTTTTTGAACAGTCTTTAGTATGATCCATACTTCTCAAAGTCTGAGTGGTGCAGGTAAAATTTGTCTGGTGCATGTATACAATTTTCAATGTTACCTGAACCAGTACAGGTAATGTAGAAAATAGTACTGTAATTCACTTTATGTTCACTGCAGCAAAATTTCACGGTCTGAGAAAAATGGGGATGTTCACTGTACTATACATTCACGGTGGTGACAGGTGCAGGAAAAAGAAGGTTCAGGAATTACCTGTTGACTGTAATGATAAGTTCACGGTACAGAAGTGACAGTGAAAACAGTGAACATAAAAGTACAGTGAACAAATCAGGAATTACAGTATTTCGAGCCCTGAACCTTATTGTTAACAAAGGATGACCTGTTCTTACATCTTCAGTTAACCATGATGTGTTAGAAAAACTCTGTAAATTAAATTCTCCTGCAAATGCCTCAAGAAGAGAGAAGAAACGTGTTAAACTTAGATATAGATAGAGCATAGCAGAGTCTCCCTATTCCTTATTACCTTCGCCAAGAAGGTTATTTTTCATGGGTGTTCATCTGTGTTTGTCTGTCTGTCTGTAAACATGATTATTAACTTGAGAAGGCTTATTATAAATGGATTGTCTTGAATATTTAGTAGATGGGTAGATGAATATGCAACAAACTTCAATGTCATTGTTATCACCACACAGATGTCTTGGAAGCTTCGGAGTTCCAAGTTCCGTCACGTGTACGGTAGCCCAGCGCGGCGTGAGCGGTGTTACGAGGGCCTGCGTATCTCCAGGAGCGCCCACGAGGGAGAGTTCTGTGCTGTCAACCCAAAGTTCCTGGCCGTCGTGACTGACGCGGCGTGTGGCGGGTGTTTTACTGTTATACGGTTAGATGAGGTGAGTTGACAATTCAGGGCTCAAAATACTGGGTGCATGTGCACCTTAGTGCACCCAGATTTGGAGCTGTGCACCCAAATGTTTTTTGTAGGTTTACGTATACGTCAAGATGTTAAATTTAGAGTAGTACTAGTATTGACAGCATATACTTAACAGTGTCAGAAAAATAGTAAAATCATTCTTGTAGTACTTTTCTTTACAAACATAATTAGTTTTCACTGACATTCTACTTTTATCTTATATGCTGCACCCACAGAAAATTTTGTGCACCCAGTTTTTTTAGGTTGGGTGCACCAGTGCACCTATTCCCAAAAATGAATTTCGAGCACTGCAGTATGTCAGTTTCTGGTGTCTCTATATTATAATGTTTAATATTTAAGAAGACATACTTTGCAAGGCCCACGAGTTACAATCATTATATAATGACAAATTCAACATTTAAGTAATTTAAACAATCCATAGGAGTCATATAGGACTAAAGCATTACATTGTAGAGTTCTACATGATTCACAGTGTACAGTACTGTATAGTCTAATTTCAAATGTTGAAGTCCACTTTAGAAATACATTGAGACTTTTATTTTTGAACTTTATCTGTTGACAGTGTTTCTAAACATGTTGAGAAAGTATGATTTCCTCCATATAATTGATATTTCTGTATGTCATGAATTTGTATGTATAGATATAAGTTTCGTAGGTAACGTTACATGTACTATAGCCTATAGGGTTGTCACCAAAGAAGGAATCAAGCTTCAATTAGTACTGATTAAATCATACCTTTTAGTAATATGATAGAAATGAAGTACACGAACAATGAAATGATCTGTAAGCTACTTTAAGATGAATCGTTTTCATGTCTCTTTTTTCGTCTCAAGAGAGTCAATAGATCTACAATCTGTTATCTGAAGATAAGATGTCACACTTTAACAGGGGGTGTGGTCAGTTTCCTGGATTATCTAGAGCTCTGAAGTTAAAGGTTTAAGTCTTGGTTTGGTGCCAGTTTTAATTTATATAGGGCCAGAGTCAGACCTTTGTAGGGGGTTACATACACGCTAGGCTCTACATGGGGTTTTTGTTAAGGGAAATGATTTAGAGATAAATTCCACCAGGCAATGTTTTTCCCTTGTCATAATCTTTAATGCCTCAGGGCAGCGTAAAGAAGCTCCTCCTGGCATTCTTTCAGAAAACTGCAGATTGTTTGGTCTGGTACCTGGATTATTGTGTGTGCACATGAATTAACCAACCAACCAAACAAACAAACAAATATCTCACCTTGTTTACTGAAGAAAAAATTGCTTCAGAAAATATGTTAAATGACAATTTAGAAATTCAGGTATGAGATCAAAAATTTTATAGCCAGCAGCCAATTAAAAAAAGCAAGGGTCTGCATGTTTTTGCTACATTGCAACATTTTTTTCCTGGACATTTTTTCTTATTTTATATTTCTGCACAGACAGGGAAGATTGACCCCATGATCCCAAAGGTCATAGGTCACCAGGGCGCAGTTCTGGACGTGAAATGGAACCCTTTTAACGACAATGTCATCGCTTCCTGCTCAGAGGACACATCGGTGGGTTCTGTTCAGCAAGAAGCCTAGCAGGCTTTTGTTAAGATAACTGTAGTTGTAATTTCTTTCTTATGATGTTTCAATAATCTTGATATCTTATGTTGATAGTTTCATTAACCTCTTTTGTATAAACCTTTTCCATTTGCCTCTTTCTTTTTTTTCCTTTCCTCTTTGTCCTTTCCTGTCTTTGTCCTTGTCTTACGTTGTCTTTCTGGATTCTATAAAGTTCATTTAATAGATAATTGCAAGGAGAAAGGACAGCTTGTCATGCTATACTTGGTCAAAATTTACAATACCAGTAGGACAGAACCAGTATCTTCTGTATTAGTGCCTATCTCTGTGGTGTCATGGTAAAAGATTGAGCACTATTTAATTCAATTCCAGTCTCATCTCTCTCTCACTTAAGCCATTCCTTTTGTTGAGGAACTATGCATTGGCAACTGAGAATAGCATGAGGTATTTGCAATGTTGTATTAATCCCTCCACCCCCTCTCAGGTCAGGATATGGTACATCCCAGACGACGGTTTAGAAGATAACCTATCGGAGCCCCTGATGTCTCTGTACGGCCACCACAGACGGGTCACCAACGTGCTCTGGCACCCCACCGCAGAAAATATCCTCCTCAGCTCAGCGTACGACCACAAGGTCAGTGTACAAATTTCAAAAATAATCTCCAAGCAGATCATACGGTGGCAAGGCAGTACTGTAAATCACTTTATGTTTGCGGTAGCAAAATTTCGCGGTCTGAGAAAAATTTGTGGTTCACCGTTCGCAGTGACGTCAGGTGCAGAAGAAAAAAGAGAATTATTTCTTCGTGGTATTGATAAATTCTCAGTACAAAAGTGACCGGAAAACCGCAAAAATAAAAGTACTGAAAATATAAAAAGATTTACTGTAGCCATTGGCTAGAGGAGTATGGCTGTATGCATAAGCCACAGTGGCTAATGGACACTCCTCTGGCTAATGGATATTGTCTTGCCACCGTATGATCTGCTTGGAGATTACTCTTAAAGGCATCCAATGAAATTAAAAAAATGTTGCTTTCCTTGGTGCTGAAATGCCATCAGTTTGTCTACACTGGAGTTTGGAAGCTAGCTGGTAGTTTGAAGTGGAGTTTTCCTGTTTAGATTCTGATGTGGAATGTGAACATAGGAATCTGCAAACTCTCTCTCTCTCTCTCTCTCTATCTATCTGGTTTATTGTCTGTTGTTCCCCGTAACCGAGGGTTTAGACATGCTTGCACACTGATGCTAAGGCTTGATGGCAGCCCGCTATTTGCCTCTGTCCTGTGGTTCTTGGGGTCTCCAAAATGTGTCTTTTTAATTTTAAATTTGTCCCTGTGTAGATCCTGATGTGGAACATGAACACAGGAATCTCCAGAAAGTAACTATTTTTTTCCCTCTTCAGATGTTTAATGTAAACACTGAAATCTCCAAAACGTATCTTTTTTTCTGTGTGTGGAACGTGAGCACGGGGATTGACAAAATGTGTTTTTTCCCAGTTGCGTTTTTAACGAAATAACGTTTTTGTTATCCCTTTTTTAGATCCTGGTGTGGAACGTGAAAACGGGGCAGATGTTTACGATCATCATGTGCCATAGAGGGTCTTGTGTTGCCTTGAGAACAAAATGTTACTTCAAAAAATGTTACTCTCCTTAGTGCTGAAATGCCATCAATTTGACTACATTTGTAGTGCAAAGTAGGGGCAGTGGAAATAGCGTTTTTGTTCCCCCTTTTGTTAGATCCTGGTGTGGAATGTGAACACGGGGCAGGCGGTGACAATCATCACGTGCCACAGAGGCTAAAAAAAACTGTTACTTCAAAAAATGTTACTCTCTTTAGTGCTGAAATGCTATCAATTTGACTACATTTGTAGTGCAAAGTGGGTGCAGTGGAAATAGCGTTTTTGTTCCCCCTTTTGTTAGATCCTGGTGTGGAATATGAACACAGGAATCTCCAAACATATCTTTTCTTCCCTTTTTAGATCCTGATGTGAAATGTGATCACGGGAATCGACAAAATGTGTATTTTTTTCCCAGTTGCCATTAGAATAACGATTTTTTTTTTGTTTAGATCCTGGTGTGGAACGTGAACACGGGGCAGGCGGTGACGATCATCACGTGCCACACCGACACCATCTACTCCATGGCGTTCAACCCCGACGGCAGCCTGCTCGCTACAACATGCAAGGATAGGAGGATAAGGGTCATTGACCCCAGGACTGGTGCTGTTAACAGGGTCAGTTATATGTAACGGTTGTTACAATGATGATAATGATGATAATTATAATGTACAAGATAATGATCATTTTGATGTAGTAATGATGCAAACACTAATTGAGCTATCAAGCATTATGTTCGAAATTTAAATTGCTAGGCCGGTGGATGTGAAGTAACAATACAGAACATATCTTAGTGTTGTATAAGTGTCCACTGTATCAACTTTATTTTTTTCATGCAAGTTTGTCTTTTTCAGGCAACCATACTTCTTACATCATTTCTGGAGCACACTTAGAGCTTTAAAAAATCATTGAATTCCATAAATCAAGCAATCCATTATACAACAGACTGACCTTGACCTTAACAATTTGGTTCTGGTTGTGTTTGTTCTAAGGAAGGCCAAGGTCACGCGGGGCTGAAGGCGTCCAAGGTTCTGTTCCTGGGAACGACCAAGAGACTCCTGACCACGGGGTTCAACAAGCTCAGCAAGAGAGAGTTCCGCATATGGGAAATGGTAATAAAAATAAATTTATTGTTTGTCATCTTGTTTGTCCTCAGCTCAATGCTTCCTGCCTACAGTTTTGTAGTTTTCACTTTCCTGGGATTTTTGTTATTATAGTTCCACATATGGGACCTCTGTTTTTTCTTCAATTTTCTGTCTAAGGTTTTGTTCTGTCTAAGTGTCATTTTATCACTTTTCTTGGCTAATTTTTTTCTGTCTAATTAGGCCATGTTGATTTGATTATATGGATGACATCCTCCAGGAGCCCCAAAACTGATGCGAGCGTGCGAATAAAAAAAAAGTTTGGCAAAAAAAAAAAGTTCTTTTCATTATGAAATCTACGTGGTCATGAGGGTTGAGCAAATGGCACAGAATATGGTTTGGCAAATAATCTAGTCTTCAAGTTCATTTCTTTACAATTTCGTCTTTTTTCGTTTGATTTTGGCATTCTACGACATTGGTATAGTTTTTATTAATTTTTTTTAAAACTTATGGTATATTTTTGCTCATTTTGCAACTGTTTTGTACGATTTACAGTATGGTTGAAAACTTTTTTTTTTTTGGAAACGGCCGAAAATTCATGCGCGCGCGGATGTCATTCATATAATCAAATCAACATGGCCTTACCAAGAGATGTGTAAGGTGAAGAACAAGAACATTTTACTAAATGATGTGCATTTTCAGAATCCCATACATTCAAACTCTCTCTCATTCTCTATCTCTCTATTCAGTTTAACGTCTTTTTTCCATGAAACTGGGGGTCAGACGTGCTTGCATTAGTTCAAGTCTTTTTTGAATCAAGATTTCTTTTATGGCTGGATTCCCTTCCTAACACCAACCCAAACCCTACTAACAAAGTTCTCAGTCATCAGTCATTCACCTTTTCTAAGCACAAGAACTAAAAGATTGGTTCTGTTGTGACCTTCTATGTTTTCATGTTTGTACAGGATGACCTTTCCCGACCTCTAGCCCACGAGGATTTAGACAGCGCCTCTGGAACATTGTTTCCCTTCTACGACAATGACACACACATTCTGTTTCTTGCTGGAAAGGTAACTAGAAATTCTTTGTCTTTACTGATGGAGTTATGAAATGATGTGTCTGATAGTTTTACTTTTAACTGACATCAAATGTAGTAGAGAAAATTGTTTTGCCGCGTATATCTTGTAGCCATGTTAATTTTTTCTTATCAAAACCAGTCACTCAAATAGTAAGAAGACTTAAGTCACTCTAATAGTAAGAGAATATAGAAAATCTAATTACATTCCGACCTTTTTTCCAGTTGATGGCGTTTCAGCACCAAGGAAGTTGTTTTTCTCAATAACAAATTTTCTATGTCCTTGGTGCTGAAATGCCATCAACTGGTCATGTTAGCCAAATAGAGTTCAGAAGTGAAAAAAGGGATTTTGATAAACTGGATGCATTCTATCAACACTTGGTTTTAAGTTATAGTAATGTTTTATATTTAGATATCAAAATTTATATCACAGCCTTTTAAGATACTGAGATTGTAGACTCCATTCAGTATTTTTCATTCGCAGTGGATCTTCCAAGAGTCTCTTATTTATGAATTCATAACCTTTGTGAAGCTGAATCAAAGCATATTTCTTTGTTTAAGCAGTATGCATTTTTTTTATTTACATCAATTTTCACCTAAAAACTGAGTCACTCAATATAGTCTGGCAAGCCTGGCGTTACTATATCGATATTTCCACGGCAGATGCTCTGCTGAACTTCACTCCCTTGTACCCCCTCTCAGAACATTCTCTGCAAGAACACGCTTAGCCACCTCAACAGCAGAAAATCACCCTTTCTTCCTCAATAGTCCATCAGTCAAGAGAAAATTTCATGCTGACAGTTTCTTCCCCAGAACCACTTCACTGTGGAACAAGCTTCCGCGTGAATGTTTCACCACTAATTACAACCTCCAACGGTTTAAATCAAGGGTGAACAAATATCTGACCACGCAGTCATCACTGTAACCCAAAACATGTAAGTGGCTCTCACGAGCCTTGTTTTGAGGTGAATCTGAAGTAAATAAAAAAAAAGTCACCATGAGTCACTCATGTATGTTTTGGGCTACATTAATCTCTATCTGTATGGGTATAGCCAGTATTAAGGGACTGTAAAGACAGATGTTTTTTTTACCTTAGACTTAAAAAGTTTAATGTTCTACATTTTCTCCTTCCAGGGTGATGGAAATATCAGATATTACGAGATAGTGACAGAGAAGCCGTTCTTCTATGACTTGGCAGAGTACAAGTCATCTTTCCCCCAGCGAGGACTGGGGTTCATGCCAAAACGTGGTCTCAACACGAAGCGCTGTGAGATCTTCAGATTCTACAAACTCCACTCTGCACGAGGCCTGTGTGAGCCTGTCAGTATGATTGTCCCTAGAAGGGTGAGTATGAATGAATTGTAACATTTACAGTCTAAAAAATGCTATGGGATTTTTACATGTACTATAGTAGTTTAAGTCCTTCCTTCACCAGATGGTGCATAGGGTGGTGCCCATCTCTGGTTCAATAAGCCCTTATTTGGCCACATAGTAGTGCAATCACTACAGCAGGGGGCTAGTCCACTGGTATCTGTGGTGCTGTTTAACTCCCGTACTCTTTCCCAAATACTGAGTGCTAAGCAGAGAAAGCAGTATGTACCATTTTTGTAGTCTTTGGTATGACTCAGCCGGGAATCGAACTCGCGATCTACTGAATCTGTAACAAACTGTAATATAGCCAGCTACCGCCGCGCCGCGTGCTTGCGAAGCTGGTGTGTTACGCCGAAAGGCGGTTATACCGGCTATACAGATACAAATACAGAATCTACCCACTTGGCCATTGCACGGGTTGTAGTACCTTTAACCTTTTTTATCACCTCTTCCAGTCGGACCAGTTTCAGGAAGACATCTACCCCGACACTCCGGGCTGCCGACCGTCCCTCTCTGGTGAGGAGTGGCTGAGCGGGTACAACAGACCGCCAGTCCTGATGTCGTTACGGGGACACTACAGCCCCAGCTACACCCCCAAACTTCACCTCAACGTGCCTACCACTAAACCCACCATCACCAACGGTCACGACGGCATGGACGCCACAGAGAACCTCAGAAGTCCAAAAACAGAAAACGAGGTGATGAGAATTATTATTCAGAAGTGACAGTGACACTTTTTGATGCTCAACTGGTTTTCCCAGTTCCTTCACATGTGATTAGTGTTGACCTGTGCTCTCAGTTCATTTAGTGACGCTGAAGAAGAGTGACGGATGTCACTCGAAACGTCCAAGTTATCTCTGTTATTTATCTAGTAGTAGAATTTGATTTGTCTTATTCAGAGTAATTCTGAGTAATATTCAGAAGTATTGTTAATGACAAGAGAAAAGGCAAAGACCCTTTGATCTGTCCAAGCCTATGAGGCACATAATGTTAATCAGTATATATTAAACCAATAGTTTGGATTACTCTTTCATTCTCAAGTTGTCACAACTTGCAAACTGAACTGTAAAATTCATACCTTAACTAGTGTGCTGCTATTCATATTCAAACACAGGTCTTGAATGTGTAGGTGTAGAGAATACTACCGGTAGTGCAATACAGGAAAGAAGATTCATATCTTTTTTAGAGATCTGAGATTCAACATCATGTCTGGTTCATCTGGTTTTATTTTATCTGGCAAAATTCTTTCCAATGAAAAAATACAGTAAATTTTTTATCCCATAAAGCATTGATGATCAGGTTAGCATGAAAAAAAAAGATTTCGGAAAATGTGAAAACATTGAGTATAGTGCCTTGCTAGACTGCAGATCTGACCAATCTTGTCTTTTTCCCTGCAGTTGCGCAGTATGGTATTCCGACAGGAGGAAGAAATAAGAAACCTTCGGGAAGAGCTGAAGTCCCGGGACGTCCGAATACGTCAGCTCGAACTAGAACTACAAAACTACAAGAAGAGAGAATCTACTGACAATCGTGACAGAGAAGAGAGCATGGAGATTTGACCCTTTAATCACAATTAATTGCAGATTTTTAATGAATATTCATATCACAGATGTGCAAACACTTATAATTAATATGCCAGCAGCAGGATAGTAAATTCATGAGTAGCAGTCAGAGTCAAAGTACATGTGATCATCACATGACTGACATGTGATCTAAGCATGACAAGGATGTGACCACCTCATGATAAATGAATGGTTTGATACTTGTACCTAAATTTCCTGTATGGGAGGCTGGCCATCTTAGCCTCCAGTATAGACACCTGTTCTATGCAAAACCCTTGGTCTATCCATGACATACATGTGACATGCCCATGATAACCATGCAGTCTTCACATGATACACATGTGACTCACACATGACAGTCATGCAGTCTTCACATGATACACATGTGCCTGGCACATGACTCACAGTCATGCAGTCTTCACATGATACACATGTGACTCGCACATGACAGTCATGCAGTCTACACATGATACACGTGACTCACATATGACATCCGTGCAGTCTATGCATGATACACATGTGACTGGCACATGACAGTCATGCAGTCTACACATGATCATGTGTCTTTCACATGACAGTCATGCAGTCTACGCATGATACACATGTGACTGGCACATGACAGTCATGCAGTCTACGCATGATCATGTGTCTTTCACATGACAGTCATGCAGTCTACGCATGATACACATGTGACTGGCACATGACAGTCATGCAGTCTACGCATGATCATGTGTCTTTCACATGACAGTCATGCAGTCTACGCATGATACACATGTGACTTGCACATGACAGTCATGCAGTCTACGCATGATACACATGTGACTTGCACATGACAGTCATGCAGTCTGCACATGATGTTAATGTGACTCACACATGACAGTCATGCAATCTGCACATGATAGACTGTGTTTGCTGTACCTGATCCAATATATATAGTGTAAAATGCTGGATTTTTAAAAGGGGACTCCCCCTATGTAGCTATACTAGTATATGGCAATGAAAATGCGATTCCCTCCTGATCCACCTATTGAATTTTTAGATAACAGATTTGCTCAGGCAGCTCCTTGCATTGTTTGTATATTGAGAGGTGATGACACTATAGTATCATCAATGTTTGTTATAGTTGCTTTGGTGTATGAGTACAGTATGCACCAAAGCTGCCCAGGCCTCAGAGCTACAATTTTTAACTCTCTTATTGGACAAAGAAGCTTTGTTGACATCCATGCACAGATGATCTACAACATACACAGTTATGATTTACTTCATCTACACTTAGTCTAGTAGATTGCCACATTTAGTTATTATCTGTCACCAAATAATGATAGGGATGATTTTAGTAAGTAATTATATGTCATAGCTAGATTAGAAAAGGAGTTCAGTGTTATTGTTTTTAAATTCAAATTTGTTAGGTCCAACTTTTTCTTGATAAAATCATTGATAGTTTTTTGTAATACAATATAATATAATTCTATTTCTAAAGGGTACCTGTGCATCCAGGCCAGTGTTTGGATCTCCAAGATATTCCCAAACCATTGATATCTTGCGATTTAACCAGGCATCACCATACTTGTTATACACCTGATCTTTTCCTATCTCAGCAACTGTGTTGACACCGTGTGTGGCACACAGCAAATAATGCTACTGTTGGGTTTTTGGCAAGATGCAATTTTTTTACGAGAATATTTGGAAAATATTGCTGTTAATAGAATGCAAATAAGCAAATGGAAAGGACATGTATTGCATAATATGTCAACAAACAATTCGAGATGGTAGTTTCATCTTCTCAGCAACTGTTCTTTAAAGGCATCCAAAGTGATTTCAGGACAGTGAAACCGGGTTTTCTGGTGATTTTTTATGGCTTCACCACACCATGAAGTGGTTTGGTGAAACATATTGCTTTCCCTCATGTTTCTTCTTCTCCTCCTTCTCCTGCCATTTCTTTAAATGGATTCAACTGTCATTTTTTAGCCAAATGACCTAAAATTTTGCATGGAGGTGGAGTGGGCAAATACCCCCTGACGTCTTTTTTTTTTTCATTCTTGGATACAGGCTTTCGCAATTTTCCTTGCTGTTTTTTTTTTGCTATTTTTTGACAAAATCTGTAATTATCGTGTAAGGTTTGGGGCAGTTTCCAAACAATGAAAATCTAAAATCTGTTAAAATAGCAGTAAATGTCACTATCAGATAGAGAAATTGCATTGGATGCCTTTAAATGAAGATTTGCTATGTGTTGAATCTCAATGGTGCTCTGCTATACACAGTAACAGTAATGTCACACAGTGCAAACATGTAGTATCTGGGTATGTGAGCCTTGCCATGACCAGTGTGCACAACGATTGCTGACTCTGACAAATGTATGTGTAAACTTTGGAAAATGTTACTATGATGGAGTTGTGACAATCAAAAGTAACGGATTAGAGAGATTTAGTTCAAGTAAATGCCCTTCGTATTACCAGAACATGTACATGTACATGTATATGAAAGTTCAAGAAGCACGTTGGCAGAACGTACTGCGTCTGTGCAACACCCATAATGTATTGTGCATAGCCCTATATATAAAGTTTGTATTGGCGTATGTAAGGATCATATGACATCCTGTCCGTCAATGTTCATATGCTGTAACGGAAAAAAAATTATCTGCAACAGGTAAAATTCTAAAGCAACAATGAAGAAACATCCAGCAAACTAGAAGGTAACATTTGCAAAGCATAATGTTTATCTCCGTATATGCCGATAATATGATCTGCTCTGTGAATTACTACTCAAACACATGCATATATACCATGGAGTCTAAATCCCTCCTGCTATAAAATTGCAACACTAGTTACCATGGTGAGAGACTTCTGGCCCAGGTCAATGACCTTCGGTAAACATGAAAACGTGAAAAATCGGTGCATAATTCTCGCAGGTGCAGTACGTTCTACCGACGTGCTAGTTCAAGATCTGTTTTAATCAGATATTTTTCTATCTGAGCGTATATTGTTCTTATCCAGATTTTTCACTTTGTGAAATACTTACAGATATTATTGTGCCCTGAAGGGTGCTTCATACATACATACTGTGTTTAGTTTGGTCTTATCGTTTATATACAATGTATATTGATATTTGACTTCGTCTTGTTGTTAACATGAAAAAAGTTTTGGTGCCACGTATAGAAAAGACACAGTAACCACGTGCTGAACAGAAATTGCTACATTAAAGCCTCTGCTACTATAATTGTTTACATTTTTTTTTCAATTTAATAGACTAGGAAAACACTAAGCTTAACCATTTTCAATCAAATATCTTTAGGTATCAAGGTATACTTCTCAATTGCATTCTCATGTTGATTTGATCATATGGATGACATCCTCTGGGAACCCCAAAACTGATGCGCGCGTGCGAATAAAAAATTATGAAATCTACGTGGTCATGAAGGTTGAACAAATGACACAATATGGTTTGGCAAATAATCTACTCTTCAAATTCCTTCATTTATTTACATTTTCGTCTTTTTTGTTTGATTTGGGCATTCTACGACATTGGTATCGTTTTTAAATATTCTTTTTGCAACTTACGGTATATATTTGCTCATTCTGCAATTGTTTTGTACGATTTATACAGTATGGTTGAAAACTTTTTTTGGGGGGGGGGAGGGGGAATCGGTCGAAAATTCATGCGCGCGTGGACATGGCCTATCTACATGTACCGGAATTTCGTCGCTGCAATTAAACTTAGACCAGTGTCACTGGACGATTGAGACGACACTGTGGGTCATTTCTTGACACCTACCGACAGGTCTGTTAACTGCAACAACCTGCTACTAGTAACTTTAAGACACTACTTGACATCATTGAAAAAGAATCGATTTGTATGCGCCTTCCGGAGAGCTCATCTAACACCACATCTTCCCACCAAAGCACCGCCTACATTCGTGTAGTAATATATCTTCTGGTGAGTAGTAATGAGACGCTTAATGGTGTATGTGGACATCATCCATTTTACCTTAACAAACCTGGCCTTTTAATTAACTGTTCATCTGCTTCGATAAAGCAAGTGTGTCCTACTTGAATCCAGGCCGACAATCAGAAAAAAGGTGCGCCTACCACCCCAACGTTAACGCTTTGAGACCTTATCGACATTTCGCTATGAGCCTCTAGCTCTGGCAGGCTTCAGGAGCGGCTAGAAAGAGTAGAAATTGGCCAAATAGAGAGAGAACATGCCGAGGGAGTTGGTCCGCTGGCCGCACACCATGTACTCTCTAGCGGACCACTTCCCTCGGCAAGTTATCTCTCTCATGATTTGGCCAATTTCTACTCTTTCTAGCCGCTCCTGAAGCCTGGTAGAGGCTAGTGTTACCTATTCATGCCAGTATATGCGACACGCGCGCACACAGTGACACACGCGCGCCTCACAACTTGACCTTTCCGCTGATACAAACGAGCAAACGCGGACCGCAAAGTAGAATAATAACATTTGCAAGCATCGTATAAACTCAAATCCGGATCCATTCAAGTGAAAGAACTATGAAGAATCTTTTACTGTGAGACACCAGAAGATCATAGTGTTACATATATTATAGTACATGTATTATGAAACTTCAACCTTCCATTTTATGCGCCTTTCTCTCGCGCGCTATTTTGCAATTGCTCGCCTTTTGACAGGCGCGCACTGAAGTTACTGCGAAAAAGCGCAAAACTTTTTTAAGGCTTGCCAAGCGTACAGAAAAGCTGAAATCGCGACATTACATAAGATTAGTGATTAATACATGCTAGGCGCACGGGGAGAATTTGTATTTGTTAAGTTTTGAAACGTATATTTGTTTTAAAGTTGCGAAATATAGTAAAAAAAAAAAGCCATGAAAACGGTATCCGCCAATACTACCTTTACCCCAGTAATGTTACGTCGTAAATCCAATAATGTGATAAATTAGTTAATAAGTTAACTATCAAGTTAATCAATAAACTGATTAACTCACACGTTATGGTTGTTAACTAGCTAAATTGCTAATGAAGTGATGGAAAAGCGCCTGATTAAGGGGCACTTTTTGGCGTGCTGTTGAGATGAACTGTCCGTATTTGTGTGTCATGTGAATACATTGTCGCAGATCGAGCCCAACTTCCGCCTTCTGCCACGCTGTTATTCAAATCAGTCGGTTAGTGAATGGCGTCAATAGTCCTTAGAGGGGGGTTGGCGGCATTGCTATCTAAACACTGTACTTGTATGAGGGCAAGTCGGACTGCGATTGTATTTTGTGCAAATGGCGGCGGGGTGACCGTGCAAAGACACCGGGACACACCCATTCAGATCCGCCTTTTTACGCGTCGCCGTCCAAAAACACTCCACTAGTTCGATGCAGCCCTCCGTTGGCGTCAAAATGGAGAAATTTCGGAGCGATGGCCGGGCAGGAAAAATTTTGCCGACGGAAAGTTCTCCTGGGTGACAGAGGCGGCGAAAAGACGCCCAAATGGCCGATCGCGTCAGACCCTCGCCTCGGAGCCGAAAATCCCCGAGCCGTCGCGCGTCAAGGTAACTTTATTCGCTTTCTGTTACTGATTCTTCTTTGGATTGGAGGGGAAAATACACATTTGCCCGGTCGGGTAGTTTTTCGAGCGGGTAAGATGGCGGATGTCACGTGACCAGCCCTTTTCAGTTATGTAAATAATGAGGTAGGTAAACACCCTCCACAGGACCCGGATGTAGGATCACTTCATCCAGAAATAGATGAAAACCATGAAGAGATGAAAAAAATATACATTTATACAGACAATCAGAATGAAATGTGTGCAGGTGTTGTTGTTTTATTCATTAAATATTTCTAAAGAAGTGGCCAGCTTTCAATGATTTTATGTGATGTGTGTATTTTCATCAAGTGATGAAGAAGAGTTCATCATTTGTTTCATTCATGTACCCCAGCATCCATAGAAATGCATACATGCAATCGAAAATATATTTCCTTTTGTTTTTTTTTAATGTCTCTAAAACTGAATAAAGATTTGATACAGATGATGTACAGTATATGGCTAATGTAATATTATTTTCAGTTCATTTCTTTTGTAACGTTATAGTAAGTTACAATGAAAAACGGTACTCCATATGTTTTTACCATTCCCAAGCTTATTAAATGATTATATGTTACATATGAATTAACAATTACGTTGCCAGGATGATGCAGAGTTAGGCTGTAGAATTATAATTTGAGGTAGTATTAAATTTCCAACTTGTTCGTTGATGAAGCATCCTTTGTGATCTGAGATGACTCTGACCTAGATTTCTGATAATAAAAGTATTAACTGATAGGCTGAACCTGCAAGTATTTAGTTTTATACGCCAAAAAGCAGTTACTCAAGCAACTGGATATGATTTTGAAAACGGTCAGACGTTTCAGCTAGTATCCACTAGCTTTCGTCAGTGACTGAGAGACCAGAGGAGAAATGCAGGTTTATAAGCACAAACTAGTTTTTAACTCTAGTTTTATACATTCGTATCTGCATGATAAGGATGATGAAAACATTTTTTTCATGTCCTCATACAGATACACACCCGACCAATATGAAAAAAGAAGGTTTTTTCAAATTAATTACCTCAATTACATTAAAAAAAAACAGGTGGTCTATTTGTTTGTTTGAGCTTTTGTGTATTCATGAAATACAGTACTGAAATTGGCCTGCTGGACACTTTCATTCAGGTTCATAAGGAAAGAGGTTAAGGTCACTCAGACAAAATGTGACAAGATACAGGTTGTTACATGATTGATTGAAGTCCTTAAAAATCCATAAACATGTAGTCATGAATGCAGATGCTTCTGTACTTATCTCCTATGTTGTTTTTGTATGTCATAATGTTTGATACCATTATTTACCAGAATTCCTGATCAAAGTCCAAGTGTCCTTGAAAACAGAATGTTTTTTAAGATTGATGTACAGATTAATATTGTCAAGAGACAAATCATTCAATTTTTAAAAAGGCTGATTTGCATCATATGCAGCCCCTTAGGCCTAGGAAAAAAAATGTTGTGTTTCCTGTTTCAGTCTTGAAAAAATTAGGGTCAGTACTAGGTAGGGATTATCTTTTTTTTCTGCATTTTTTTTACTTTGGCTAGCGATCCAAGTTCATCCAACTCATACAATACAGTTTAACAAAGTAAAACTTGCATGAGGACACTTATATCTTCAATATCAACATCAAAAAACTGATTGTACAATGTTTCATCACTCAGGTCTCAGATCATGGAACTCGAAAGGGTTGATCAGCTCTAAAAAAGTATGTTTTGCTGGGAAAAGAAGACTAGGGTCGGCAGGTTTTTCTAGGATCGGGAAACAGGAAACACAGCATTGTTTTTTGTGATATAGCCCTGAGTGAGAGATATTAAAAACATGCAAGCAAAGAGACTAGTGCTGCATACTTAAACCCATATCTAGGTTCAGGTCCGGATTCAAGTCCAGAGGTTTAGGTTCAGCTCTGGACTTGTAAGTCCAGACCCCTGGCACATACAAAATTGCATGTTGGCAACCTTGCAATGTTGTCTGGGTGAAACTTTGGCCACATAATATGGAGGCCGCGGCCAGTACTTGACGATGCCCGATGCCAATGTTTTCATTTTGCAGCAAAGATTTTGCAATCTACGGAAGGTTTTAGGTGGTTTGGAAAGAAAAGGGGTACGTGAAATGGTCTTATATGGTAATAAGTCCAGACTCGGTTCTTGACCTTTACTAGTTTTCTTTTGGACTTGAACCTAAACATTCTTACAAGTCCGGATCCAAGTCCAGTGAACCGGTATGCAGCACTAAAAGAGACATGCACTGGATACTCCTGGCCTCTAGAAGATGAAGAGTTCATTGACTTGGTTGCCATAGCAATATCCTAGCAACCATTGACAACACAGGTCCTGTATGACAGACCAATTCATGACATGTATCATATTATGGGTCAACAGGTATACTCTTCAACATAATATAGTAGAGGGGATTCATTCCTCAAGCTACCGACATCTCGCACACGCAGTCGTCCCTCAGTAAGACATCTGGAGCCGCATAGTTCCCGTTTAGAACTTTTATTCAGCCTGTCACACTTCAACATAACATATGCACATGATATACATCACAAGTTTTCCACCAGTAAATTTTACATTTGGTGGTCTACTTCTGTCTCTATAGTACACTTTTAGACTCGCACGACGACACAGTTAGATTCTAAAGATGCCTTGGATATCAAGGAATTTGCAATATGTATGCATAAAACGAACACTTAAATTTTAAAATGACAAGAAGCCTTACGTATACCGACTTACTGTAGTGTGTAGACATTGTAGTGGTTGTTCATTATGACTGTCTGAAAAATTGAGTAATTCAGTTCAACTTCAAAGACAGTGCAATGAACAGAAGCTAGTTAACAGCAAATATCCTTTATCTCTTGATGATACTACTCCAAGGTAATTAAATGGACAGGCTAACACTAACAGAACTACAATATACAGTCACATACATGTATATTGTTCAGCATGCAAGGTTATACTTATAGATACTAGTACTCTTTGAGATAGCGTTACACACATTCAGAGGAAGATTCTAGATATAAGATATTACACAAAGGTATCAGGTGTTATTTCTTTGCGAACATTTGCTTTTTCAGGAAAACTGATGATGATTCAGCGATATACCCAGTGCCCAAAAATAGACTGTTGGTATTTGAAATTTTAGGTTCCTGGTAAGAAAATCCATACACGTGTGTGGATTCTAAAAAAAAAAAGCCTTTTCTTGTAGGTACTGAATAGGAAGGCCTACTGGGTAATGGCTAAGATTCTTATATTCCCTCTGGTCCAGTCAGGGTCAAAAGCATTTTGCTGTAAGGCTGGGTAATTGTGTAGAAGGTGTTCAGGCATTATAAGAACATCAAATTTTCTATGATAATAGTTGTCCTCTGGGTATACTGTTACTGGTACATGTATTATTAAGCTTTTGAACTTGTTACATGTTGGTGTAGTCACAAGGATAGAACGCAGTTACTCAAGAAACTGGATAGATTTCAAAATATATCCAGTTTCTTTTTCTTGAGTAACAATTTTCTTGTCGATCTCTTTACCTCGATTTCTATTTAAACCTTCATCGATGTATTTCCAATATTAGTAAATTTTGTAACCATCCTCCAGCTTAGCAGGAACTGACTGGTAACTATTTATTTGTCTGGACCTTTATCTATTCAAGAGAAGCTCAAAAGTCAAATTGGCCTTCAGGCTCCTTTTTATTGAGGGAACAGATAAGGTTTACACAATATATATATATAACAAAGATACATGCAATTGTCATTATTGAAGTAAAAACAAACAAATATGTAGTACAACCAGGGATTCTTATGGTATAGTCACAGTGTTACTCATAAAATGCATGAAGCAAAATGGAAGTAAAGGTAGATCTTCTGAAAGCCTCTTGCTGATGTTGGCTGAATGACTTGCAATAATTGCTACACCCAACCCCTACGCCAAAACATCAGGGAGAAGTAACATATTAAGCCCCAGAAATAGCCCCTAGCATCTGCTTGGAGCTTGCCATCCAGGTACAGAAGCTGCCTGTAGGTACAGTAGTTGGTTACCAATTGGTAAACTGTTCCAGACAGTAGGATTACAGGGAGGGATCAAATGCCTGAGACCCTCCCACAGAGGCTTGAGTTGACCTGACACTTGGGATGACCTCTGTCTCAAGGAAGGAGGAAGGTCTGTAGCAGTAGCACATGCACAGGGGCAGCTAGCAAATAGACTGGATGGGAGTAGATTGTTTAGTCTCCACCAGACTCCTTTGCAGGCTGAATAAATAGTTGAAATTGGCATAAAGAGGAATGTAATTGGCCAAAGGAGTTAGCTGGCAATAGAAGGAGGCAAATTGGTCAACTCCTCTGGCTGAGGTATGCCTATTTTGACTATTTATTCAGCCTGCAAAGAAGTCTGGTGGAGACTATAGATTGTTAGCATCTAGCAAGCTGGTCATTCATTCGTGGGGTCGTGTGGCATAGCAATATTATAGTGTCTTCGGCCTGGAACCTAGAGGTCCCGGGTTCAAACCCCACCTTGTCACCGATCTTGTGCCCTTGGAAAGGCAATTTCTCAGGTGAAAATGAGTGTGCCAGAATGATCATTATCATGATCGTGGGCATTAAAAAGAAAACCAAAACCAAAAACCATTCCATATCTTGCATGCATCTTCTTGACTGAGTAGGAACAGAATATAGCGGTAGGTGCTTAATGGTTTTTTTTGTTAAATAGTTCGTGCAACTAATAGTGTTTCAGTCTTAAGATTATCTAAATCCAGATGATACAAAAGGTTTTGTAACACATGGATCAAGTGATCAGTGGGAAAGAATGTTGTAGACTTAGTTTGAAGGCAGAGAAAAGCCTCGGGGCTCAATTAATGATTTGTATGGTGAATGTGGTGTGTTGAAAATCTTGTTATTCTATACAGCTACACCTAGCCTGGTTAAATCGTAGCCTCCGTAGCAGGCTTATAGAACTGGGGGTTTGGTGGTCTTCGGCTGTTTTC